AACTACTCCTTTTAGTCATAAAGATAATCGGAATTGTAAAAGGTTTGCCTTTATTTGTGTACATTCACAATAAAAACAAATCTTTGTGCTTTTGTAAAATAAGGCTAAAGAAAAATAGGATGCCGCTTTCTGCCGTCTGTTTCCTTTCACACAGCACAAAAATGAACCGAAACGGCATACTAAACTACTTGTTGCACAGTTTTTCTTTAATTTTCTTAATTAAAAATATGTTTCTCGTGTATAGGCCTATTTATTCATTATATATATATATATATAGCCTAGCTTTATGATTTTCTCCGCCGGCAGAAGCGCTGCAGGTGCGTGATATGATGACCATGTGAATCCTCATGTTCTGTTGTTTGCTGCTTTTTGCGCATGTAAAATTAATCCCCGGGAAACAAATGTTAGTATTTTTTAACAGGTCACAGACACTTATTCTTTCTAATTTAATTCAATTCTAATTTAAAATAATCTTGTCGGTTAATGGTTAATAATCGGTTAACGAGCGTCGGTTGTCGGTTAGGAAAAATAACCGAAATGAACATCCCTAATTTATAATGTTACAAAAGATTTCTGTTTCAAATAAATGCGGTTCTTTTCAACCTTCTGATTCAAATAATCCTAAAAAAATATCAGTTTCCACAGAAATATTAAGCAGGACAACTGCTTTCATTGATAATGCATTTATAATACATTGATAATAAGAAGTGTTTCTTGAGCATAAAATCTGAATATTAGAATGATTTCTGGAGGATCATGTGACACTGAAGACTGAAATAATGGCATCATGGGGATAAAATGTTTAAATATAAAAAAATGTTTAAATATATTACAATAGAAAACAGTTATTTTAAATTGTATTAATATTTCACAATATTACAGTTTTTACTGTATTTTTAATTAAAAATGCAACAAAAAACATTCAAAAAAAAATTACCAACTAGTAGTAGTGCATGTTTTGATACCGAAAAAAACTCAATTTCTTCAAGAAAACTTTCAAGAATGTTTGAAATTATTTCCTTTGACATTATATTGTTCTATTATTCTATTATTAGCTTCATTAATAATATAATAATAATACTAATATATATAATAAATATTTTCAATCTTTGTAAAACTTATTTTATTGCTATTTATTTATCTATTATTATTAATGAATTTATTTTTATTATTACTATTTATTTATATTTCTATTTTTATTATTATAATTTTTTATTTGTTTTATTATTATTATTATCTTTTTTTTTTTTTTTTTAAGTCTACCAGGGTTGGGGTGGGTTGTAAATTTACACAGTTGCTGTTTGTTTTATATTACTATTCCAAGAAGAAAATTCAATAAAGAGTTGTTAACAAAAAATATATATTTTCAAATAACTTACATAAAACTGGTAAAATGAGTGTGTTAAAAAGCAAGTTAGTTTTTGCTGTGTTATTAAAAAAGGGAATGAAACTACAAATATTGTCGTATTGAGACAATTTTTCTGACATGTGCGTGCGTCATCATGGTCAGAATAAACTGGATGTGTGAAACAATTTTGTATTTCTTTCTTTTTCAGTTCCTGGCGAGACAGGAAGCTTTACTGCTAGCAAAAAATGCAGAGATGTCTTAAAACGTATGTACCAGCAGGCCTTTTTGCAGACATAGTTTCCCTTCTCTTTTGTTCAAGAGAAATGTATCAAATCTGTCTTCACTCCCTCAGTCGATGTGTTAAAAACACTCACACAGCAGTGTTAACTTGTTTTCTGAAATGTAATACCTAGATAATATACCACAAAAACACAGTCTTATAAATGTACATAAAATTTTTACAAATTCAAATATATAAAAACTATAGATTGTTGATGTTATTAACTGTGGAAAAGCGTCATCACAGTCTTTGAAAAGGGTCCACAGTAATCATATCTACAGTCCCCGACACTGTAATGTAGTCCATTCCAGAGAAATACTACAGCAGAAGTGCAAAACAATTGTCATAAAATAGCACATACGTTAGTAATTAAATAATAAGCTGATTACACAAACCAAGCCGGTTTGTTGCAGTTAATAGTGTCATTCAGAGAGCTGTACCTTGATGAGGCGGGCAGGGTGCTGGAAGGAGTCTCTCAGCTCTGGTGGATCTTCTGCCAGAGCACAGGACTTATGGTACAGCTCATCTAGACTAGGGTTGGCCAGCAGCATTACCTATAACAAACATTAATATTAAGCATGACTTCCAAAAACCACTGAATGAAATCTGGTGAGAAGTATTATTCTGAAAATGAATTTGACAGTGAATTACTCAAAAAAAAAAGAAAAAAGATTGACCATAACTGGGGGGGGGGGGGGGGTATTTAAAGAAAGAGCAATTTGTTCAGTAAACCACTGTTTAATTAAAAGAAAAGCTATTTTATGTTTAGTTTTTCCCCCCTGCTGTACTGAAACCATACCGAACCGTGATGTCAAAACTGAAGTACGTACTGAACCGACATGTTTGTGTACCGTCCTCTAAGTCATATATCAAACATAGATTAAACATACATTTAAACAACAAAGAAAAAATTGCACCATAATAAAGTAACTAGCTTATAAATGCATATCTCAAGATCTCTGTGCTTTTTTAGGGTCCATGAAGGTAAAATTGAATTGCTTTGTCATTTTCAGATGGTTGTATATATCCAACTGATAGATCCAATCCAGTGATGCCTAAATTTTTCATGAAACAGAGGTTGTGTTCGTATATTCCTTCCCATTGCGACACATCCGAGTGAAACGGCTTTTCAAACAAGAAAAATAAAATGTAGTGAGGTATTTAATTGGTTCATCGTGAATTGACTGGAAAAAATAGTAATTTGCAACAAGACATCTCAAGATTCTTCCTTTACGACAATTAAGGGTGTATTCATACCGGTCTTACTTGGTTCGATTGAATGGAACTCAAGTTCGTTTACCCTCTTGGTGTGGACCTTTTTGGCAGGTGTGAATACAGCAATCGTACTCAGGTGCGCCCCAAACAACCGTACCGAGGTCTCGGTCCGCTTCCAAACGAACTCTGGTACGGTTCGTTTAAGGTGTGAATATGACCCGACCTCGATCCGACCCAATTGTAGTTTGGCTTCACGCTCAGAAACAGACAGCTTGCGCATATAGTGCTGTTATTTGCGTTTAAATGGCTTAAATAACTTTTTAAACCACAATGCTTAAAACCACAAGTGACGTGAGCATGCTAAATAGGCTAAAGCTTGCCGCAAAAATTACCATGATTATGTTGGGAGAAAATAGTAAGGAGATATTTGAATTATTTTTTAATAAACTAGTGTTTTATGAGTCAGTGTCGCTATGAAGTTGATGATCCTGACTCGCCATCTCATCATTGGACGCGTCTTTAGAAAGAAATGCATCTTTACGGATTACATAATAACAGAAGCATCATGCCCATTCAAAGGGGCCACGTGCCCCCTCAGATTTCTGAGCCAAGTGGATTTTAAATGCAGCTTCCAAAAGACAAAAAATAGCCGAATATTTTTTATATTTGATACAATCACACCAGTTTGATTAGATCGCTCAGTGCGGCACAGCGTCAGCTGCTAAATTCAAATCTGCGTTCGCTGGCTGGCGCTGAGCCAGAAACAGACGCGTGTGTACAGCGCTGCATTATAACCAATCACACACGAGTCTGTTGATCTTATGAATGCAATGGCCAATCAGAGACACTCGGATGAGTCATCGCTGAAACGCGGTGTTTTGTTCACTTGCTCGCTGACTGAATTATCTGGCGAATTCTCTCATCAGAAACAACAAAGTGCAGATGTGCGTACGAATGTTAGTTAAGATATTAATTTCACAGTATAAACAGCTTCAGTGATTTTAATGGGAGTTTTTGAGAGTGTTTTGACTTACACATATTTGAGAATGGAGATATTTCCTGATATAGTTAACACGTTTGGAATTATTTCGAATAAAAAGAGAGAAAAAAAACAACAACAACATAAACCTATGTCAGTTATGCAGTGCTATCTTGGCTGCTGTGTGTCACATGACAAGCATGACCCCCCTTCAAAAATCATGAGTGCATGACGCCCCTGAGTTTTTGATTTGGATTTGAATTATTTCGTTTTGTAGTCCTTTAAAGCTTTCTATAGATATATTCATCAAGTCTGTAAGGAAAATATTCGCTGAGTTTCGGTGCATTTTTGTGAAGCGCTCCTGTTCAAGACCAAGACGGCAAGTGCATCCTATTTGTTTTCTTTATTTTACAAAAGCACAACGTTTTCTTGATATTGTGAGTGCACACAAATAAAAATAGAACCTTAACAGTTCCGAACGATTTACTATTCTTACCTTTATGAGCAAAAATGATGGCGTATTTAATTTGTTTCCACTGATGTCCTGTGTTGAGCTTCGACTCTCCACACAAACGATTGGATATGCGCCTAATAGCGCACATTTATATAGGTTAAATGTTTAAACTAACATTGTGATATGCTTTAAGTATTTTATATCTGTAGATTTTATTTTCGGCAAGTCGTAATTACAACATCGTATGACATTTTCTCATATGATGCTCATAAGTTTCTTCATATTACGTTAGTATCTGATAACCACAAATCATTAAAAGAATAAAAATTGCACTACGAAAGATCTCCATGATTAGCCTGTTTTTGCACTTCCTGTTTTTCCCTGCTTGAGAATTTCTGTCCAATGAATGGATGACCTTAGCACATGGTTGTGTTTACAATTTCTGGTTCACTTGCAAATAAAGGGCAGTGTGAAAGCGAACCACACCAAACTAAAAAAAAATCAACATTGTATTTGGTCCGGACCAAAGCAAGTGAACTAGTGGACTTTCCTGGTGTGAATACACCCTAACTTACCCATCGAGAGAGAATTTGGAGAACTGCACAGTATATCTTGGGACGACTCTGCGAGGCCGTCTTGGAGAACGTTCTCTGCGAGGAGACCGGTCTCTAGAACGCTTCCGTGTGGGTGAACGTTCTCTTGATCTCCTTCGCTCTCTATCTCTTTCCCGACTACACAAACACAGGCAAAATAAAGCATGAGCACGTACAGCAAATAAAGATTCACAATATCCATTTTTTGCTTGTACTTCAGACCAAACTACTGAAGCAATTCTACTCAATTACTCCTGAGAAAGTAAGGTGTATGCATGAGTGCTGACCTGCGGTCATCTTTCCTCAGGATAAGTTCTGGTCGGTCACTGCGGCTGGGGAAGCGGGGTGAGGGGTCCACACGCCTCACCTGTTGCGGCTGAGGCATCATCCGCACTGGCGGCTGCAGCAAACCCCCTGAGAACACAGAGTCTACACATGGCAGAAAGAGAGAGAGAGAGAGAGAGAGAGATCGGAGATCAACACTGATTCTGTAAAAGTGTGACTCGTTGAATGGTGGAGGGGTTGATGTACCTTTAGGGGGAGGCTGGGGTAGCAGGGGCTGTGGGGGATTCTGCAGCAGTGGGGCCAGAGAGGCAGCTGAGAGCTGAGCCTGCAGAAGAGACGGAGGAGGTCCCTGGGCCGGGACGCTGAACGTAGTGGGCGGGGGTAGAGACTGCAGCATGGTGGGACCTGGTTTCATCATGTTTGGGCCTGGCGGCTGGTTCTGAAAAAGAACAAAAGAGTTGGGTTTGCTAGTATGTACAACTGCCAATTTTATAGTGCAAAATCACAACATAATTTTGAAGAAATACCCCCACCCCCCACATAAAGGTAGTAAATTTCAACCACACTGACACTTTTTTGAAAATTTATTGAATTTATACTACTGTTTATGAATGAAATTAATTCTTATTTTCAGAAAGCATGCATTAAATTGATCAAATATTACATTTATAATGTTCCAAAAAATTCTGTTCTTTTAAAAGAATTTATTTGAACTTTCTATTCATCAAAAAATTCTGAAAATTCAGCTTTTCCATGGAATAACTTACATTTTAAAATTAAAATACAAAAGAGTTATCTATAATTGTAATAATATTTCACAATAGTATTGTTTTTACTGTAATTTTTATCAAATAAATGGTGAGCATGAGACGTTTTTCAAAACCATTTAAAAAATCTTACCAACCACAAACCTTTGAACGATAAGGTTCGACAAGGTGAAACCTTTGACACTACAAAAATTATATATTAAATTAACATCACCTAGCTCTACTTCAAACAAGTCAACGTCTATCAAAAGAAAACACAAACCTATAACTGCACATTGATTCAACACATCAAAATGATTATGACAGCTTTCAACTAGGAGCTATAAAACAAGCTTTTAAATAAATAACATTAATCCAGTATATAATGTTTAGGTAACCTGTTTTATAGGATGGGAGGAAAATGGGCCTAAATGAGTAATCAAGGAACACTAAACCCAGTGAAAAGAAAATAAATGGTTAGAAATAGCTGGAGACAGAGGAAGTAGAAGCATTGCTATTACCATTTTCTGGTTTTGGCCCCTGTTAAAAGACACAATAGCTTTTCAAGTCTTGTTTTGGGGGGGTTGGGAGCACAAAAGGCACTTTCTTTAAAAAAAAAAAAATAATAATAAATTATAAAAAGTATAATGGGCATTTCCAAAGGAGACAATGTCTCACAAGTATTGTTTGTTACATAAAACAAAACCAGACCAGAGTTTGCATTTGCTTTTTCATCATGCACCTTCTCAGAGTGACATTTGTGTCCAGGTGTACAGATGTCAAAAGTACAAGTAATTCATTATCAGGTATAAAAAATTGTTTAAAAAAAAAAGTTAATAAATACAAAAACAGCAGTAGTAACAATATCAGTCTTCGTTCTTTATTTTATAAAAACTCAAAGAAAAAAAAATTGCACCCACATGCCATTATTTATTTATTTTTTTAATTATTTACATTAAAGGGGTCATATGATGCTGCTAATAAGAACGTCATTTTGTGTATTTGGTGTAATGCAATGTGTTTACGCGGTTTAAGGCAAAAAAAAAAACACATTATTTTCCACATACTGTACATTATTGTTGCTCCTCTATGCCCCGCCTTTCTGAAACGCGTTGATTTTTACAAAGCTCATCGGTCTGAAAAGCAAGGTGTGCTGTGATTGGCTAGCTATCTAGTGCATTGTGATTGGCCGAATACCTCAAGTGTGTGACAGAAATGTTACGCCCCTTACCAGGTTCAGGAAATTTTCCTCCGTAAAATGCGCTGCGCACACTCGAATATTTGGGTTGAACTGTTCTTGAACGTAAATAAAACTTGATTTCCAGTTGTGTCCGCTTTTGGAAGGCCAAACAAAGTACTTTCGCTTTCACAACATAACACACAGCGTCTCCATGACATGGCGGCGGCGGCAAAAACAATACTACAGCGAGAATCAAAGTTACCATTTGGGCAGCGTTATGCAAATCTTCCCACACAGTGACGATTTGTAATTTTTAATTAGCATTACGAATCATTATAAAAGATAAAACTTCACTGGTATTTGGACTACTGAAATTTTTGAATAAAAATAATTAGTTTGGGTAATTACAAAAATAAGACTAAGATAAAACAAAAACAAAACAAATATGACTTTGCATCCCCCCAAGACAAAGTGCATTAATAACACAGCAGATGCTGATTAGCTAAAGATGGAATCTATGGTTTGCAAAAAATATGTTTAAAGGGGTCATATGATGCGATTTCAATTTTTCCTTTCTCTTTGGAGTGATACAAGCTCTTGGTGCATAAAGAAGATCTGTAAAGTTGCAAAGACTAAAGTCTCAAATCCAAAGAGATATTCTTTATAAAAGTTAAGAGTCAGCCACGCCTACCTAAAACGGCTCGTTCTAACACGCCCCCACGTGTCTACATCACTATGTGGGAAGATTTGCATAACGCCGCCCAAATGTTCACGCAAAGAAAGAAGGCATAACTTTTATTCTCGCTGTTGTTGCCACCGACATGTCGTGAAGGCACTGTGTGATTCGTTGTGAAAGTGAAACTACTTTGTTTGGCCTTCCAAAAGAGGACGATATCTGCTTAGTCATGCCTGGAGCTGATCCGTGCTGGTTGCTGAGGAAATACTACAACTTCGTGCTGTGGATCACCGGATCGGCTTTCACCGTGGACGAAGCGGAGTCCAGCCCGGGGTTGTCACATGTGGTTGCCGCAAGCCCGCCGGACGCTCCTTCATCGAATCCGCCGCCTCTGCTCACTCTAGCCTTCCAGCCGTTCCTCACATTATCCCCCGACCTTTGCTCACTCTAGGGTGCCGTGTGTGACGCTGTGTTTCGTTTTGAAAGCGAAAATACTTTGTTTGGCCTAGAAATCAGTGGTTAAGTTGTATTTACAACACTGTTCCAGAACACTTCAACCCAAATATTCAGATGTGTGCAGCACATTTTATGGAGGACCGTTTCCTGATAAAAGACAGTATAAGTCATTATAATCCATAATTATGTCCCCACTGGATACAACGAATGCCTCGTTTATAATAGGTTTAAATGTTTTTGTCTCATCGCTCCTGCCGGGACATGGCATCACAGTACGGTAAGGGGCGTAACATTTCCGTCACACGCTTGAGGTATTCGGCCAATCACAACACATTGGATAGCTGGCCAATCAGAGCACACCTCGCTTTTTCAGACCGATGAGCTTTGTAAAAATCGACGCGTTTCAGAAAGGCGGGGCAAGGAGGAGAAACAATAATGTACAGTATGTGGAAAATAATGTGTTTTTTGAACCTTAAACCGCATAAACACATTTCATTACACCAAATATACAAAATAATGTTATTTTTAGCAGCATCATATGACCCCTTTAATTACAAATCCAACACGCAAGCTGTGAGCTGTAATACAGGGAAAGGTGAAAAAGCTTCAACAGGGACTTGTCTTGGGTGGAAGGAAAGAAACCCAAGGACATGTGACTAAAGCCTGTTTGTGAAACAGGAGAGTGGAGGAGTGGATCAAGCAGAAGACAAAGGGGAAGAGGAGGAGGAGGAGAGAATGGGGATTCGGGGCGCAGGGGTCAAGTGGTGTGGGTTACATTTTGTCTTGAATCCACCGCAGAGTGTATGTCAGAGTAGCGCTGCATTCCTGCTTCAGAGTAAAAGCTGGACAGCTGTGGGGAAACCTGAGGTAAGGGCTGAGGCGGCTGGTGCTACATGGAGATTAAGAACACAGGAATCAACAGCAGCATCATGACACACTGTGAAGGCAGAACCATTTCAGACTGTATCTGCCAGGGATCCATTCAGACCACGTGGGTTTGCTTACCGTTTGGTTGGGCAGCTGAGGTAACGTCTGGATGCGCTGGGCATTCCATTTGAAAGGCATATTAGGATTGTAGACAGCTTCCACCAGAACACGATCGCCGACTTGGGGTGTTTTCCCCTTAACTGCACTACAAAAAAAAAACAACACACACCCAGAAGTTACACACCTGACCTTGAAAGCTCTTAAGTACAATTGCACATTTACAATATAATGCACCTGAGCTGGAAGAAGACATCCTCATCAACAAAGCCGAAAGTATCGTGTAGCTTGCTGACGACCCCGGTGAAAACACGCTGCTTTTGGGGTTGAGTCTGCTGTTGGTGGCTGGAGCGCGGGGTTGGGTAGGATACGGTTATCTGTGCCGTCTGCTGCGGATTTGACAGGCTCAGGCTGGTGGGCAAGGCAACAGGGGGCTGCAAAATACACACAGCACCACTGTTAGAACATAAACTCTTCATATTTGGCAATGTTAAGGGATCTCTTGCTTCGTTTTACACATTTAAACATAGTAAGATGTGTTTTGCAAGAAAAATATGTGATGCATATGCAGAATTTGGAAACACAGTGTACCTGTGATAGCAGGGCTTGTTGGGGTTGTGAAAGCTGTGAGAAATAAAGAATAACACAAAAGAAAAAATTACACATTAACTATAAGGCAAAAACTGTTAACATATAAAAATATTTTATTTATATAAAATCCAAAATCTAGACATTTTCTACATGTTAACTATATAAATATAAGCGCCAATTACTACAATATGCCTTTCGAAAATGTGAGGTCGGTATAGATTTTTTTTAAGTCGCTTATGCTCACCAAGGCTGCATTTATTTTTATCAAAAATAATAAATAGTTTTTTATTTTAATATATTAAAAAAATTATATTAATATATTTTATTTATTCCTCTAAAGGCATCATCTTTCAAAAATCATTTTACTATGCTGATTTTCTGCTCAAGAAACATTTCTTATTATTATCAATGTTTAGAATCAGTTGTTCTGCTTAATATATTTGTGGAAACCATGATAGATTTTTTTTCTGAATTCTTTGATTAATAAAAAGTTCAAAAGGACAGCTTTTATTTAAAATAGAAATCTTCAGTAACATTATCAATGTCTTTACGGTCACGTTTGATCAATTTTTATGCATTCCTTTAATAAAAAAAATCTTTCTGACCCCAGCAGCTTTTTTTACAACCACAATTAAATGATGACACCCCAGGTTTGAAAAGTATGAACTGAAAAATCAATACATGCTTGAATTCACATTCAGAACCAACCACATCTAGACTGGAAGTGAGTCCTGATAGTTAAATAATGCAGACAGGCACTGCAGCACTTGCCCTCTTTAGAGTAACCACTGTGCGGACTGCTGTCCTTTTAGTCTGCCATGATGTATACATTTATGAACCTGACAGGCGCTTGTATCTAAAGAGACCCAAGACCTCGTGGTACGCACAAGAAATCACAACAAAAAATACAGAAAACCTTTATGATAAAACAAGGGCTTCAGAAAAGCTATGAGGCAAAGTAAAAGAGGAGGTGTGGATGAGAGCCAACACATGTACCTGATGTGGGACGTTGTAAAGAGTTTGTTGATGTGGAGGCTGTGGTGGGGGGGCTTGAGGCGGCTGCTGTTGTTGTTGCTGCTGCTGTTGCTGCTGCTGATACTGCTGCAGGGCTGAATTGATCTGCGACTAAAATAAAACACACCAGTGACTCAAGACTGCAGGCTGGGGGAAGGGCTCAGGTTACAGCTCTCCTACACTGAGCATGCTAGAAATGCATACGAGTACAATTCAGACTGATGGAGGAAGCACTTTGTGCATTGCAGTGAACAGAATGAGATTGGGTTAGGTGCAGAGCGCACTCTATATAACTACTACTATTTTTGGAAAATAATAGGTTCTGTGCTAGAGCTCCACGATTAATTGAAATAAAACTGAAATTGCGATATGGCTTATTGCGATTGTCAGATATCAAAGGCTGAGATTTAACTAAATCAATATATGTGCTGCATCTTTTAATAGTGAAGCGTGGTATTGTGAGTGTCTTGGTTCACAGTAAATGCTGTTCCGCACAAACTCTATCTCTGCATCTGCTCCGAGTTTGGGTTTAACGTGCATTTGGGAATGCAGCATTTCTCAACCATCTTCCCCTACTTGTAATGAGAAGTGCTTAACAATCTAAGAGAAGCATTAAGGTCTCCCTGTGGTTTTCCCATCAAAATAGAAGTTTGATGGTTTAACGTTTGAAAATGAAGACATTACAACGGCCATAAATACTATTATTGTAATTTTAAGGTTGTAATATAAAACAAATGTATTATTATGACTCCTAAATACTCTTTTTTTTATTTTACAGTGAAATTTTAGAATAGTAATATACTTTGTTGTTATTTAGTATGCTTATGAAATAAACATATAGTTTGTTTATATTTTATTTAACAATAATAATAATAATATTTAGTTTGCTTGTAATAATAATAATACTTATTATTATTTATCCTTATTGATATATAAATAAAAAAAGTTTGGCTAAATTGTGCAGTCCTGCAAACAAGCACAGAAAACTTGGATTCCCCCCAAATTTTAAATTGCAAACACAATTGTTAACAGAAAAAAAAAATCCCAATTAGATTTGTCAAAAAAAAAATGTTTTCCCAAAATCATGCAACCCTTTACTATACTACTTAGTTTCCCCAAATCCCCCCAGCATTTTAAATTGCAAACACAATTGTTAACAGAAAAAAAAAAATCCCAATTAGATTTGTCAAAAAAAATGTTTTCCCAAAATCATGCAGCCCTTTACTATACTACTTAGTTTCCCCAAATAAATGCTTTCATGACACTAGAAATGAAAATGCTGATTGTTATTCGCTAGGAATTAGGGATAATTGCATACTATTCACAATATACATACTATATACTGCAGGATACTGCATAAATGACACATCCAGCATGTTAGTATGCTACTCCAAACATAGCCAAAGGCTTAATTGTGCATTTACTCCAGCTGCATTACGGTGATGGATCACAGCCAGGTCTTCACCTGCTGTAATGCAGCGGCAGCGGCTGCTGCGGCCTGTTGCTGGAGCGCTGCGGTCTGCTGAGAGAGCTGATAGTTGGCAGCTGACTGTGTGTTGAGGGAGGCTGCCGCTAAAGCCGACTGCTGAGTGTACATAGGAGACGCTCCCAAGAGGGATGGCTGCTGTACTCCTAAAGCTATGGGAGAAATGTGTGAGATTGTAAGGACAATGCAACTGCTGTCAACAACATTCAAACGAACACAAGCAAACTTTGACCACTCAGTGAAACCCAAAGAAAATCATCTTGAGCTTTGACCTTCACAAATAAGATAAAGCTAGAGATTATGAATGCATTTTTAGACTAACATTCAGTAATTTGTAATTGAAAGCGAAAGTAACACAGTGCCAATAATTCAAGTATTTGCTGATTTATGATGACTTACAGTGTAAACTGTTCAGGTCCAGTGACTGTCCTGAGTGGCCGGGCTGTGAAACTGCTGTTGTGGCAAACTGGGCCGCCCACGGCGGGTTCTTCTGACCCCCGAACTGGGCCATGGAGACCTGCTCACGTTTTCCACTGGATCAGGTGGCAGATTATTTCCTGCAAGGACAATAATCACTTACTTACTAAAACTGCAAGCTCTAAACATTACAAGCATAAAACTGGATGGACAGGAACTGAAATATAGTGTCTGTTTCAGTGGCTGCTCGCCAAGACAACACTACTGATAATCACAAGACACACAAAGTCAAAGGTTTTGATCTTTAAGGCCCCTATTGCCCAAGACAACAATCAAAAGGCCCTCAGTCATACATCAACTATATGATATTTTATTACTACTACTGCTGCAGTAAGACGCTTGTTTTTAAACGTTCTGAAACAGAAAGTGGGGCTGGTAATAGCTTAAAATAATCAAGCTTCCAATTATTCTAATGTCTTTTTTTAATAGTTAACACATTTAGGTTATTATAAAGACTAACTAAAACTAAATTAAAAATCTGTGAAGAAGATTTGTTTCATTTACAGATAACTGAGAGCTGTGTTTGCAAGATTGTTAATTTAATTTAAAAAATCCCTCATCTGACTCTGAAGGCAATCGGACCTGCTGCCTAGTTAGGGATCTCTCTAGACTTTGAAACGCAGCCAAATGCAATTTGTCAGCTCACTAAATCGTCTGTAATAAAATGATTGTACTTAATTAATTCCCTCGTACAAAAAAGCAACGCCTTTTGTTTACTGTATAGATTTCATACATAAATACAGAGGCTTTAAAGAAGATCTATGTCATATACTGATAATTAACAGCCGAGGTTGCCAGATAGTTAACTTAATTTAAAAAAAAAAATTTAACTCGGACATGCTGTCTATTTAGGGAGCTCACTAGATTTTGAAACACAGCCAATGCCATCTGTCAGCTCCAGAACACCAGCAGACTTTTTAGACCCCCTTCCCGCTTTAAAACTCCGTTTAAGTCCAGATCAACAGCGAAAACGAAACATTAACTTCTTCGTGACCTTTGTTTGAAGATCCAGATAATTACTTTTACTATGCAATCTTTTCTCTGCACTAGCTTAGCACACCAACGTATTCTCAATGCAGCAAGCTAAGCAGCTAACGCAGCAACACAACACAGACCAAACCATTTCAAACCTTGTATTAGGTCTCTCAACCACTTTGAAGCGTATTTACTTAAACTAAACAGCAGTCTCAGTGGTAGTATGTACAGCACCACTGTGCTGACTGCAGTGTTTTGTTTTTCTGATACGGGCCCTCGCATGAGCACACTGTCTAGTGTTCTGGCCGTGCACTTACTAGTCTCCTTTACACCTCAAAAGTGTATACAATGTGCGCAGAATAACACACAATCAAGTGCATGACGAAGCATTACTAACATAACAAAACTTCAGTCGATATGTAAGCATGCAAGCTAGCTGTTGTTGTCGCTGCTTACCGTCCGTCCGCTCTCATTCAGCGGTAGAGAAACACTGAAGTCTGGATGACGCGTCGCGCATGCGCAGTTCGCTTGAAGCGCATCAGTGCAAAGCTGATCCAGGAGCGGATGGCATAAGACAACGAAGAAGAAGTTTTTTTTTGTAAATCCAAACAATCCTACATATATATAACTGAATCGTTGTTGTTTTTATTATTATTATTATTATTAGCCATATTATTATACCTCAATCATTTTATTTAAAAATCATGTTTTCTTCGATCAAAATTTATATGAAATCCTAGAGAATAAATTGTCAGTTTTTAGACAAGCTGGAACTGTACTGTTTATACCCATTGCTTTCATAAATTAACACTCTTTTTATTATTTATTTCTCATTATGCTGTGTTGCAAAGTTAAATAAAAAAATAATAATAATTAGGATTTTCCAATTATGTTGGAAGAGATCAGATGTGCTAAAACATTAGTCACATTTAAATGCAGACTCAAAACTCATCTGTTCAGCTGTGCATTTACTGAATGAGCACTGTGCGATGTCCGAACTGATTGCACTGCATTTTATGTATAAGCATGTTCTATTCTTAACTCTTTTAAATTCATTTTAAACCTTTTAAATCAATTTTTAAATCATTTTCAAAAATTGTAATTCCTTGTTTTATTGTTGTGATTATTTTTTTTATAATTTTTTCATTTATTTTATGTAAAGCACTTTGAAATACCATTGTGTATGAAATGTGCTTTATAAATAAACTTGCCTTGCCTATGTAGTAAACAAGCAAGTCTTTTTAAATGTCCTCTGAAAGTTTCTTAGGTTTTCAATTTGAAAAATTATTTCTCTGACGAAACAGCACAACATTCCAATTGTTTTTGTAAAGTAAAACACACACCAACTAAATACATATGGCTATCCATAAAAGCAAATTAGTATTTTAAGAATTAGTTTCAAAATTACACCATTTACATGTGTAATGCTCATATCCCAAAATGATTGAATGCCATAAGTGCTTCTAAACGACTGTTTCTGGGCATATTTATATTAGATATTCAAATCTCTCATTCTGGAGTAATTAGTGAAACAGGCTGGTTCATAAACATGCTGACGTTTTTATGCTGAAATGTAAAACGGAGTAAAAAACAGAAGCTTATAAAAAAACAAAATGCAGAAAAATATACATTTAAAGAAAAGTGGTAAACAGTAGGACAAATATCTACACCAAGACAATGACTAATTTATACACAACTGTTTTATTTCATTATAGGTCCTCCTCCAGAACTGCTGGATGGCAGCTGTAGATGATCATGAATACAGACTTTCACAAATGACCGCATTCTCAAGGACTCTTAGAGCTGTGGAAGATCCGCATTCCTTCAAGTGCTCATTTCAGGTTTAAGAATGTATCAGGATCACAGCATTGTATTCATGCTATAAAAGAACTCCAACTTAATTACTGCACTCCCCAGACATCTAGGTGAAATCGCAGTGTTCAATAAGCATTGTAATTAAAAGCAACCGTCTTCAATTTAACCTTTTCTGTCAGACAAGTAACAGACCCGTTAAGAATCCTTGTAACTCAGTGAGTGCACTTGCAATCACAATATTGCACTGTTATATTAGAAACAGAACTTACAACATTGAGCTTGGATAAATATTATACTATATTCTAGATTCTGTGACTTAAATGTACAGCATCCTTATGGAGTGTGTGAATCCCACTAGAATTATGACACAACAATAGCCAATAGAATTATGTGTACAGCAGAGCTGGATCTCATGCTATGAGTCTTGCAGTTTCTTGTCCAGTTCTGTAAACATCTTCATGTTGATCTCATCCACTTCATCCTCGACCTTAATAAAAAAAATAAAAATTTAAAAACCACACAATAATGAATAATGAAATTCATGATCACTGTAGTTAAAATATGCAAAGATGATCTCATGAATAACTTACCTGTTCTACCTTGTCCACCTCGGGTATATAAAACTGCAGCATGTTCTGGATGCCATTTTTTAGGGTAACCGTGGAGCTGGGACAGCCTGTGCAGGAGCCAACCAGCTTCAGCTTCACTGTGCCATCCTCAAAGCCTTTGAATATGACGTCGCCACCATCCTCCTGAACCGTGGGTCTTAAGGAAAGCAGACACAGCATTGAGCTTTGCTGGTCATCTAAAAACCTTCAATACATAACTAGCTACTAATTTAAATGTCCTGTCCACGTATGCAGTAATTTTTGCTAAAAGCTTTTCACGCTAGTGGCTAGTATTGACATTCTAAAATTCGAAATTAATAATTATTTAAGTGGCAAAATTAAATAATAAAGATTAAGCATGCTTTCAATACAGTTTTTGGAATGAAAATTGAACTATTTTAACGATAACTATTTTCTATTTTAATATATTTTACAATGTAATTTATTCCCGTGATGGCAAAGCTGAATTTTCAGCGTCATTGCTCTAGTCTTCAGTGTCACATGATTGTGTAAACAGCATTTATTTGAAATGATTTCTTTTGTAAAACACTATAAATGGCTTTAATATCACTTTGGATCAATTTAATGAATCCTTGCTCAATAAGTATTCAAAAAAATAAAACGTACCGACCACAAACGTTTCAAGCGTAGTATATGTTGAATTAAAACAATATAAACATACCTGATCCGTGTGTCTAAAAGTTCCTTTATCATTAAGACAATTTCATCATCATCTTCTGTAACACCTGAAGAGTAAAGAAATAAAGATAACAATTTTAAATAGTTTAGTCAGTCTGTGTTAATGTACAGTCAGTGTTTCGCTCACTGCTCTCAGCGTGTGTTGCTCCCGCTGTGATGGCCTCTCCACTCTCAAAGAACTTCGTAATGACCTCGATCGCATGTCGCTTAATGTCTGTCCATTCAACATCATCGTCTGTCTTTAATAAGTTACATGTTAAATGTTAATGCAGCATTCAAACAGACTAGCAATCAAAATAAACTTTATTGCCGAACGCTACCTTAGTCAATGTGATGAAATCTGGGCCATAAAAGACACTTTTTATGCCTTCAATTTGGAAAAGATCCCTGTTGGATGATTATAACAAATGTATTTAATACACAGCAAGATTACATTCAAATCACTACTTGCAAAAGGACTCTATACTAGGGTGAACATACGTGCCATTTTCCCAGGACGCGTCCTGGCCAGGATTTCTATATTGCCTAAAATATCTAGGTTTTGGCTTTGTTTGCGTGTGCAGACCGATCGGTGTATGACATCAAAATGACATCTAGATATTTTAGGCAATATAGAAATCCTGGCCAGGACGCGTCCTGGGAAAATGGCACATATGGTCACCCTACTCTATACTTTTACAATGAAGCTCACTTGGCTAAAGGGGAACCCTCTGCTGAGTTTGATGCTGGGAAATCTCGAGTCCCCATTCCCAGCACAGGTTTACCGGGAAGAAACTTTAGACTTCTGGGGTTTGGTGTGTCTTGAGTTAAAACGGAAAGGTTTCGCACTGCAAAAAAACAAAAAACAATACAAAACCTCAGTAAGATTACAGGGCTTTGCAATATTAAATTCAACAGCATTACTTTACTTTACTTTACAAACTTGAATTCATCAAAAGCGATCTGTTATGGAATAAAGAGGATATAAGGTACAAATAAAATGCCTGACCTGAGAATGGTTTGCATTCATACAGTCGAGACTGTATTCTGTGGGCAGCCCACACTGAATAGCACTGATTTCTGTCATTTACAGGCAATCTAAGAGAGAACATACAAGATTACAGTCTCTACACACACTGTAAAGGCAAAAAGAGAGAGAGACATCAGTACATACATATATATACTTTTATGACAGCTGAAGTTAATACCAAGGTAATCGTTTTACTGTAGTATTTTGGTGGAAACTATGGTTACTATAGTAAACCAGCACAATCGTCACTTGACATTATATTATGCAACAATACACTTCAAATCTTGGATTTGAATACTTTAAAAAAAATACAGCATGTCATTTCCAACCTCAAATGATGTGACCGCATGAAGCGCACCAGACTCCATCTTACAGACGCCGCCATTTCGATTGTTTTGACATTTAGGACCCCAAAGCGGACAATAATTCTCCTGCTGAAAAATACGACTGTGTGTATGTTAAATGAATATTGTGTGTAATTAAAAAATATATATTAGTGCTTATATAAATATGTGGCAAAAATGCGTACGAAATCAGAGCGAATTACGGCAAAACAACTGCATTGCACCTGACATGTCAATATAGACTAGGTTTTGGCTTTGTTTGCGTGTGCAGACCGATCGGTGTATGACATCTAGATATTTTAGGCAATATAGAAATCCTGGCCAGGACGCGTCCTGGGAAAATGGCACATATGGTCACCCTACTCTATACTTTTACAATGAAGCTCACTTGGCTAAAGGGGAACCCTCTGCTGAGTTTGATGCTGGGAAATCTCGAGTCCCCATTCCCAGCACAGGTTTACCGGGAAGAAACTTTAGACTTCTGGGGTTTGGTGTGTCTTGAGTTAAAACGGAAAGGTTTCGCACTGCAAAAAAACAAAAAACAATACAAAACCTCAGTAAGATTACAGGGCTTTGCAATATTAAATTCAACAGCATTACTTTACTTTACTTTACAAACTTGAATTCATCAAAAGCGATCTGTTATGGAATAAAGAGGATATAAGGTACAAATAAAATGCCTGACCTGAGAATGGTTTGCATTCATACAGTCGAGACTGTATTCTGTGGGCAACCCACACTGAATAGCACTGATTTCTGTCATTTACAGGCAATCTAAGAGAGAACATACAAGATTACAGTCTCTACACACACTGTAAAGGCAAAAAGAGAGAGAGACATCAGTACATACATATATATACTTTTATGACAGCTGAAGTTAATACCAAGGTAATCGTTTTACTGTAGTATTTTGGTGGAAACTATGGTTACTATAGTAAACCAGCACAATCGTCACTTGACATTATATTATGCAACAATACACTTCAAATCTTGGATTTGAATACTTTAAAAAAAATACAGCATGTCATTTCCAACCTCAAATGATGTGACCGCATGAAGCGCACCAGACTCCATCTTACAGACGCCGCCATTTCGATTGTTTTGACATTTAGGACCCCAAAGCGGACAATAATTCTCCTGCTGAAAAATACGACTGTGTGTATGTTAAATGAATATTGTGTGTAATTAAAAAATATATATTAGTGCTTATATAAATATGTGGCAAAAATGCGTACGAAATCAGAGCGAATTACGGCAAAACAACTGCATTGCACCTGACATGTCAATATAGAAAGAGGCGTAGCTCCCTCCTTAAAGGGATAGTTTCCCAAATGTTACCTCAAAATGAAAACGACAAAATTACCATTGCCCTAAAGTGAAATTTTAGTCACACCCATGATTAATTAAACTATGTCTAATTTCTCTTTTGCATAACACAAAAGGAGATGTTAGAGAGATATTAGACCGAATGAGTTCCGGGATTCACCTCATGTAGGCCTATGGAGAAAACCCCAGATGCAATGTATGTCAGTCGCTCACATTCTGCCTTACATTTCCTTTTGTGTTCATAAAAGTCCTGTATACATTTTAGACTATGGCTTTTTGTGACAAATGCATATGCAGGATGTGTCTCAAATGAGATTCTAAAATGCATTCAATATTAAGTTGTTGAACTGCGAGACTACATTTATATAATGTAATTATATAATTCATGAAGCATGTTAACCTTTTGTATTAGGCTACGTTACATTGCAACACTTTCTAAATGTTATTTTAAAGTAGGCAGGTGTTTTAGATGCTACTCTTGGGTCTTTTCAGAGACCTGCAAAAGGGCCAATCAAAGGACTGATGAGGCCTTTACAGCAGTATGATTTATTTACTGATATCAATCAAATTATTGTAATATGTGCATGTTGTTCACAGTCCCGTTTCATTCAAAGTATATTTGTCTAATGCTTAAAAACTGAGAAGGATCATTGTCGTGACTCGGTGACACTTAGATGTTCTGATTTGGCCTGAAAAGGCTGAGAACCACTGCTCTAAACTAACATGCTCTCAGGACAACTATGAGTAAGACCATAAGTAAACAATGGGACAAGACTGAGTTGACTCAACCTAAGTTGCCTTGTGGCTGTTATATTTTCTTGTCTTAAAGAAGGTGATTACCATAGAGGAGTGGCTGGATGTGGTGGCATGTCTCAAAGCTTCCTTTGCGTATTTAAGTAAGAATGTAGCTCATCTGGTAGAAGAGACAGTAAACCGGTAAGGTCAGCAGAAAAGATGCTAAAGGACGTGTTGACGTGTTTTTGAGGGGCTAACATGTCAGTCAATTTTTCAAGACCTCCGTGGAAGGATCACTTCTGAGATTATCAGCACTTTACTTTATTCTTGAACCAACTCTCTCGAAGAAACATGGCTGTTTGGGTTATCTTACCAATTGTTCTGTGTGCCGTCTCATTCATCGGGTGTTGGACAGTGTGAGTTGACAAGATTCTTTGCCATGTCTCTCAATTTAAGTTACATATTACAAATTTATGGTTCTCAAAGTCAACTAAAACTCTGATAGAAATGTTTGTCGCTGTCTTTTATTACTATTCAAATTTGTGCATCACTATTATTACTTCTTATACAGTATCTCTTCACCATTGCTGAGAATACTAGATAGATAGATAGGCATAGTTTTAATGATAATTTACAATGTTTCAGTCATAATTTATTAATATCTACATTATGACATTGATGCTGACGTGTAAATGAGTGTTGCATAACCAGCTTAACAACAAAGCAAAAACAAGAAACAAGTAATTTCAGTGCTGATGTCAAAAGCGTCAAGGCACATACTGTAAACGCAGTAACCAAATTCAGGATCAGAAAAACTCAAAGACAAGTCAAGGCTGGTCTTTTCTGTTATCTGGAAGGGGATCTAAGACAAATAGTCACATACATTGTTAAACGCTCATCAATTTCTGAGTCATGCTCTATAAACAGGTTCCGGGTTACTTATTAAACAATCCTGATGCATCTCTACTGAACACTGACTGAACAGAATGAGTACAGAAACAACAAAACATGCTACTACCACAGCAAAACATTTCTACTATTTTGGGTCTGATTTAAGTTTTTTTTTCATGTGGTCTTGGCAAAAAGTAATATAACCTGGCCCTACATTTTGAAAAAAAAAATCAGCTGATTTTCAAACAAAGGCCTGGTATTACCTAATGTGATTATGCGGAGTTAAAATATCAATAAAAACCTTCCGTCATGTACAGTTTTTCTTCTTCTCACAAAATAAGAATGAAGATTTTTTCATATATACTGTATGTATCAGCTTCAATGCACTTATCAAAATAACAAAAGCAGTCAAATGTCAAATATTTAGGTTCTGAAATGCACATCATATTTTGTGAGAAAGTGTAAAGTGCTAGAGCACTATTTTGGAATCAGCACTGCAAATTTAGTAAGTATCAAGTATTGGATTTCATTCAGCAAATATGATGCAGACCAGTGTAATATATGCCACTGTAAACGACTAAAAGTGTCTTTTTTAAAATTATGTTGTAAAGGGTTCTCTTGTCTTTACAGATACGGACTTGCATTAAGTTTCAACCATGTCTGCTCACTTAATAACTGGTAAAGTAATGAGTCCAACCAGCATTGCTTAATGTTTTCATTCTGTTATGCATGTTTCATTATAACGTTGTTTTAACAGGGAATACAGAAACTCATGTCACCCAAATGAAACCGGGATTTGCTGCACCCTGGATAATGTGCCCACCGTAAGGTCTGTATAACACATTAACCCCTGAAACACCTGTTATTTTCCACTTCATTATCCAAAGGAATGACTTATTTTCTGCTTATTTTGCAGCACAAGTGGAACAAACTTTCCAGAAAACTCCCTTTTCACAGCAACAATCAATGCTGGTTCATTTTTGTGTGAGCATATATGACTTTCATATTATTGTGCACATCTGTGTCTTGACAAATGCATTTAGTTAAATTACATTTTTATCACTCATGGTAGTGAATTGTATTGTGGTTTGCAGAGAAAATCTGTGTAATACATTTTATCTTTATCCCCACAGTTCTGATTTTTTGCGTTTTCCATCATGCACACATCCTGGACAGGAACAGTGTTCATTCTCTTCTCAGTAAGATTGCAATGATTTTAGGCTGTGTGGTGTCTGTGGGTGCATTCATGTCAGGAAACTGCAATGTAAGTACAGATGAGATGATATAATTTACTAATTTCACTTGTTGCTTATGAATAGTATAAGTGCTGACAAATCACTACAAACATTCTTAAAGGAACAGTTCACCCAGAAATGTAAATTTGCTGAAATTTTACTCACACCCAGGCCATTCAAGATAAAGATGAGTTTGTTTCTTCATCAGAACAGATTTGGAGAAATTTAGCAGTACATCACTTGCTCACCAGTGGATCCTCTGCAGTGAATGGGTGCCGTCAGAACGAGAGTCCAAACAGCTGATAAAAACATCATAATAATTCACACGACTCCAGTCCATCAGTTATTGTTTTGTGAAGCAAAAAGCTGCATGTTTGTAAGAAACAAATCCATCAACTTCAAACCTTCTAGCTTCTAAAATACTAGAGTCTTCTCTCCATAATACTGGATAATACTCATCTGAATCAGAAGAGAAACATGCACAGATCAGCACCGTTTACAAGTGAAAACAATCCAAAACAGTTCTAAATAAACATGTTGGTTGATTTTGATGTAAGAGGACAACAGTGGATGAACTTTTTCACTTGAGGAAGTGTTATTTTGGATTATGGAATCTAATTTTGGCCAGAAATGACTGTTTAAAGTTAAAACACCTTAATAATGGATTTGTTTAATACAAACACACACTTCACTTCACAGGATGTTAATTGACTGGATTATTGATTGATTGTATTGATGGTTTTATAAGCTGTCATTCTGACGGCACCCATTCACTGCAGAGGATCCATTGGTGAGAAAGTGATGTAATGCTAAATTTCTTCAAATCCGTTCCAATGAACAAACAAACTGATCTATTTCTTAAGTGGCTGAAGGGTGAGTACACTTTTTTTTTAGCAATTTTTCATATTTGGGTGAACGATTACTTTATTGAAGGGATCTCAGGTGACATGGCCTTAAAGGGATAGTTCACCCAAAAATGGAAATTACCCCATGATTTACTCACCCTCAAGCCATCCTAGGTGTATATGACTTTCTTCTTTCAGACGAATACAATCTGAGTTATATTAAATAATGCCCAGGCTAATCCATGCTTTCATCCATGGGAGTGGATGGTAGCCCAAAAATCTGAAGTCCAAAAAATTGCACCCATCCATTATAAAAGAAGTCCACACGGCTCCGGGGGGTTAATTAAGGCCTTCTGAAGTGACGCGATGCATTTGTATAAGAAAAATATCCATATTTACAACTTTATAAATCTTAATCTCTAGCTTCCGCTAACTGACGGACTCGTACGCACGTTCACGAGAGAGTCATATACACCTAGGATGGCTTGAGGGTGAGTAAATCATGGGGTAATTTAAATTTTTGGGTGAACTATCCCTTTAACAAAACAGTCTAGCATTTTCCTTACTTTCAGTGAGCTCACTCCGAAAAAACAGACAAAAATAAAGGTCCTTAAAGGGATAGTTCACCCAAAAATGAAAATTCTGTCATTAATTACTCACCCTCATGTCGTTCCAAACCCGTAGGACGTTCGTTCATCTTCAGAACACAAATTAAGATATTTTTGATGAAATATGAGAGCTCTCAGACCCTGCATAGACAGCAATCATCTTCTGCCATTTTAGAGTATCACAACACATACGCACACTTTCCCCTAAGCATAAACAACGCTGATTACTCAGGTTACGTTAATGCGTGCTTTCTCCTCCGAACATAAACAACGCTGATTACGTCGATTACGTTCTTGGGTACTCTCCAAAATGGCGGAAGACGTAACTCGGGGAAGAAGAATTGTTAAATAAATTGTTATTTTTGTTTTCTTTGCGCTCAAAAAGTATTCTCGTAGCTTCGCAAAACTGAAGATGTCACATGGACTGTTTTACCAATGTCCTTGCTACGTTTCTGTCTGGGAACATTACAGTTGTGTTGCTGTCTATGCAGGGTGTGAGAGCTCTCACATTTCATCAAAAATATCTTAATTCGTGCTCCGAAGATGAACGAAGGTCTTACGGGTTTGGAACAACACGAGGGAGAGTAATTAATGACAGAATTTTCATTTTGGGGTGAACTAACCCTTTAACTATGTATTTTATAAGATAACAGGTTGTATGACAACATTCATGTGAAGTCAATAATAGGTGGAGCCATAAAACAAACTCTTTGCATGCTTGGTAGACTGTTTCTTGTAGGCATACTTTGTGTAAATATGACGAACATGGATGATCTTATGCACATTTAGCTTTAATGACAACATTATTTGATAAACTTTTCAAACTGATCAACTTTCTTTTTTTTTTTTTACGTTACAATATATTTAATTATATTTTTATTATACCGCCACATCACAAACTTGTAATTCCATAGTCATGTTTCCTTTTCTAAAACAGAATTAACGGACACATTCTCTTTTACTTTCTGTTCTGACATTTATAGCTCCATGAAGAACATTTAACATTCTTGGAAACTTTCCGGATTCTTTACAGTGACAAACATTCTTTAGATTTTTTAAATGTTTTTCACATTCATTAAAAAATGGCTCTTTTAAGAACTGTCCACTGAAAGGTTATTTGGGGAACCCAAAATGTTTCTTCTATGGCATCACTGTGAAACTCACCTTTTGGAATCTTTGCTTTTAAGAATGTGTTGTGAAATAACCAAATAGATATGAATAGATATTGTTTCCTGTGTTTCCTTGCAGCCAGCAGAGCTGGTGTTACTGCATTACCTGGGTGCTGCTGTGAGCTTTTTGTTTGTGTGTCTGTACATGACCATCCTGACGTCCCTCACTAGTAAATGTATGCTGACGGGATGTGAACAGGTTCTCTATCCACTACGCATTATCTCCTCATTTATCCAGATTTCTGCCACCATTCTCTGTATCCTTTTATGTTCAAAATATTTTGCTTTATGCATGGTAATGCTATTTTTTTTATTAATTATGGTTCAGTATGTCTATGCTTAGAAAAATCCTAAGTTAAGCAAGAGGTGAAAAGTAAGAGTATCTACAGGTGTCTTTTCAGATATACACCGGCCCTGACAAGTATTTGGACACTTAAGAAACACTTTAAAATGTATGTCATTGCATTATACAGTATATCAAAACATCAAACCAAGCGGCAATTATTTTATAGAAATAAAGCAGCGACTCATTTAGGAAAACATTATATAAAATAGGTTTCAAAAGTTCAAAAAAGTACATTACCATTCAAAAATCTGGGGTTGGTAAGATTTTTTCAATGTTTTTAAAAGAAGTTGCCATATCATGGTGACATATCATGAAAATCTGACTTTTTCAGGTTTTTCTTTTCCAAGTGCTATAATCAGGTCCAAGGAAGGAAACGTGAAAAAGTTTAATCCAGTCACTTTGTTTTGGTAAGCCTTTTTCTGCAAGTGTCTGAAAAAACGAGCGCGTCTGATTTTGCTCCCCTAGTGACGTTGCAAAGGGATCTCATTATAATATTACCGCCCCTTAATCTGTAAATTTCCACCTACAGTCTATGGTTTCCACCACTGATCTATAATAGAGAATATATAGATCAGTGGTTTCCACCCACGGCGCAGTCATTTTGATTTCACAAGCGACAAGTTACGGTGTAGCAGCTCTAATGCTAATGTTCTGTCTTTGGCTGCACAGAACACTATTTAGAGTCCCAGCCTCAGAGGAGACAGAGAGCAGTGCATTTATTGATTTATTTAATGAATATTGCTGCTGCCACACAGATCTAAAATAAACATGCGATTTATTTCCCAGCTGTTTACCTTCACTGACATAACCGACTGTTTTTGTAACTCATGTGTGTTTTTAACGTAAACTTGTGTGTGAATGAGAACTTAGTTTAGTACTCACATGCTGTGACAGCCGCTTTCTGTCCGTGTGCTTCGGATGCGTGCACTCAGAAAACCATATAGCTGAAGTTTAAACTCATATGGTTTAAAATGCATGATCTTAGCGCGATTAACATGATAATATGAACCAAAACAGATGTTTTTTAGCAGGTACGAGCTGTAATGGCTGCAGCTCTATTCTGGAAAAGGGGGCGGGGAGCAGCAGCTCATTTGCATTTAAAAAGACAGACATGAAAAACAGCATGTTTCTGCTTCCACTCAAAGGCATTTTCAAAATGATATAATAAATGATCTGTGGGGTATTTTGAGCTGAAACTTCACAGACACATTCTGGGGACACCAGAGTCTTATATTACATATTGTAAAAAGGGGCATAATACGTCTCCTTTAAAGTCTTAAAAATAGAGTAGAAACTAATAGCAAAAATTATTACAAATAAGTATTTTATTTTAATAACATTCTTCAAAATACCTTCTATGTTCCACAGTCATACAGGTTTGGAACTACGTGAGTCAATGATGAACTATCTGTTTGACATGATTAAAAAGCTATTGAAATCTCAGATGTTTTTCTCCATAACTCTTCTTTCATCAGATGGCATCTTCTTCATCCAGGAGGATTACTTCTACAAGCACATCTCTGCTGTGTTTGAATGGTTTCTGTGTGTCAATCTGGAGCTCTATGAACTCAGCTACTCTGTGGAGTTCTACTTTTTCTCCTCATCAATGCTTTCAGTGCTTTTAGCAAAGAAAGAAGAAGAGAAACCTCTCATTTTGTCTTAATGTGGAAAATCCTTCAGAACTCTATAGGTTTTTCCATTATGGGTTCATAATGCAAGACATTTTAAATGTAACCTCATTCAAACAGAAGATCTACTCAGGAGACATGTGGAGGGATTGCACATACTTTTGAAGTTGCCATATAATGTACATACTTCCTCTGAGATTGCAAGCACTGGATTTACTCTGGAGCAGGATACTCTGATTTTTCTCAGAGTGGAGCAACAGGCACTTTGAACTTCTTAGTTTCTTCCTAAGCATCTTTACTTACAAAAATACCGTACAAATGCAATATTTGACCTCAGATGACTTCCTGTGAGCAAGAGTAACTCGGTTGGGTGCATGCTGCTTAGATGATTGTTCAGTTTACCTCACACTTTTAATCTAATCACTCAGTCCCTTGATAATGTGGAAAATCAACTGCTGGCAGGAAATGTGTATTTGTCAGAAATTAAAGTGTCACAAGGTCTATGTAGAAAAAGGTAAGAATAACACATTGGCAGTCACAGGCTTATCTCAAATTCAATTATTTTCCATTATATTATATTGTTGTGTCAGAACTTCAATTCAGAGACTCTAGGGTGAAATTAGGAGGACCATAGCTAAGTGGTCCAGCAATAAAGAGCCAGTGTATTTATTCTCTGAATCAAAGTTTGTTGCTATTTATAGTTGTACATATAAGTACTCAGCATTATGAGTTTTGGATGTTGAGATGCACTTATGACAAGCCTACAAACAGACCTTACAGGGTACGTTTGCATGAATCAGCATGCGTTAATTAATTTGACTGCTGAAATTCAGTTGTGTTTAATGTTGTAATGCTGCTGCTGCTGCTTAAAAGAATCTAGAGATAAACCTCCCGTTGACAAATACCTATAATATAATTGTGGTTTCACAACATAATGGCCAGCTGGATCTTACCACACACACACATTAAAGTCAGAAGCACTGTACAATAATTCAATGGAAGGACTAGCACTTGAAACACCTGTTTTGTTTCTGACACACCCATTGTGTTTAACTAAGAAAACCACTCTTGTATGCAGTAATTCACTTGGGCAGGCGAAGCTCCAACTCTATCGTTGTTTTTCTGTTAACACTTTATTTAACAGGTCAGGTTCAATGGGGTAATCATCTAAAACATAGTTCCCTTATTGCCATTTTTATTATTAAATAATGTAGTCTGCAACTATGTATTGGCCATGAATTCTCAAAATTGTTTTCACAATCAAATAATATGATATACATTAACTTACGGTCTACTTTATGGTAACTACAATCTCAAATACTGTATGACTTAGAATTACAAAGAAACTTCCAGAGCAGGGAGGGGAGATACAGGACAGCTCCTTCTAACTTCAACTTTCAAAGTCAAGGTGGAGGAGTGAATTTGTTTGGAAAGGTTATGCACACACACTGCTGTAAGACAAAGACACCGTTGCAGCTGAGGACTTTGCACCTGTGCTAAAGAATGAAGTAGTGTTGAATGAGTTCTGAAAGAAATGAGTCCTAAAACCTGTTAGCATTTTTGCACTTAAACTTCTGTTGTCCCAAAGTCTAGGGTGTGTGGTAAACACAAGCTCAAGGTATTTTCACTTTATATTTTACGACATAAAATATATCAGAAAAACACAATTTGTGATTTTGTGCGTGCGTGTGTGTGTGTGTTTTGTAGGGGGTTGCTAAAAAGAGGCTAAATAAGACAAAAGGCGTTGTCAGGGATATTAAACGTCATCACTCTGAACAGAAAAATTCATCTCATTAGTTGGCTTTCACAGTCGTTGCATTTATAATAGTGCTCCTGTAAACTACTCTAACTTATATATATATATATCTATATAAAGACTGAAAGAGCTGTCTGAAGCTTAGTGATAATCATCTTAATGTTGTGCAACCAGGGTGTAGTTTGTTTATAGCATAATGTCAGCTTTTTACTCCTGGTGATTGTATTTAGGCTTTGGAATTGATAAAAGCTGTTTATTTGTGAAGATTACCTTGATAATCAAAACGTATTTTTAGTAAATAAATTATTTTTTATTAATTTAAGGTTTGTAAACTTTTATTGGCCTCAGAGTTTATTTTCTGCAATAATCCAAAAGCCAATGGCTTTTTAATCAAGAAAACCTGGGTGACGCAAACTTATGGTTTTGCCTACAAAAACACATCGTACCTGCAGAACCCTATTAGTGGTGTCTCGTCAAGTGCCTGTACAAAAACTTATTTGTGCAGATGACAACACATAATACAATTGTTTACATTTCAGATAGGTTTGAGTCAAGAGAATAAAGATTCAGGAAAAAAAAATTCAAATGTTAATGCAAAGCACATAACCTTTACTTTGAAATAAGGTAATATACATCCTGGAATCACAGATAATAAAGATACATCATGAGCAAAATAAATTCACAATGAACATCCTCTCTTCTTTCTCTGATCCAAAGAGTGGGGCAAACTAGAAAAAGTCTACAGTATTAATGAGGGGGAAAGGTGGTAGCAAACCTAAAAGCATGTATGTCCAGGTATTCACTGAATACACTGGGGGGGAGAAAAAAAGTAGTTCAAACAAACAAAAAGAAAAAGGAGAAACAGCAATAAGCAGTCCACATTGCTAAGAATTTCAAAAGATAACTGCAAGAAAACGGGAGCTTGATTTTCATGGTGTCCCTCTCACTACATAGTTCAATTATAATGCATATCATAAATAGATGAAGGGGAGAAACACAACTGTTAGATAGGTCTACAAGCAGGATGCCACAATTCCAGCATAGCTGAAACAATAAATGACCACTCCTCCAAATTCCAAACTTGGAGCGAGACCGAAAGTAATCCTTTACAAACCTTTAAGATAAGTCAGTCTGCAATCACTTCTCATGCCAAACACCTCCAAACAAAGCATGTTAAACCAGTTTGGGCCCTTAAAATGTCCATGTGGATTAAGTTGTGGGTTTATTTGTTCGTCTGATGGTGAGAAACACTTCATGACGTGACGCGTGAGAGACAAAGGTTAAAGCAAAGAACGGCACGTCTCTTATCTAAGCCTTAGAACCTATTCAGCTAGGTAAGTCTCGATTAGTCTTTAAACTCTCCCAAATGACTAAAATGATATCAGTAACATCTAGCTCATCTCGTATAGCTTTAGCTGATGCGGTCCTCTCTCAGGTCTAAACAAGCAGACGTCCCCTGATCCACACAGCAACGGTGCTGATCATTTCAGGCTGGAGAGCACTACGTTTACATATTTGACTTATTTTTTTCTTTTCTTAAAAAGGAAGGACACTACAGTAGCAGACAACTCAAAAGTATTAATGTGATGCAAATTTGAAATTTTATAAACCTACAATGAGCTGAAATTAGTTTTCTTCAAACTGAGTACATGTTCTTTGTTGTAGAGCCACTTTTGCTAGAGGTGTCGTCATGTGACTGGTATCCGATGAGGGTTTTGATTGGGATACTCAAACGCTCTTTGTACTGTTGCCTAAAGGGGAAGAACAGATTTCACTGTCACAATGAAGGCATCAGTACAGAAACTGCTAGATATCAGCATATTTACATCAAACATCAGCTGAACACACATCTCAGGTTGGAATTGATTTTTTCTTTTGAAAGAAATTGACACTTTTTATTCAAAAATGATGCATTAAATTGATCAAACATGACAGTAAAGATATTTATAATTAGGGATGCTCATTTCGGTTATTTTTCCTAACCAACGCACGTTAACCATTAACCGACAAGATTATTTTAAATTAGAATTTAATTAAAAGCACAAACAACAGAACATGAGGATTCACATAGCCATCATATCACGCACCTGCAGCGCTTCTGCCAGCGGAATACATAATAAAGCTAGGCTATATATATATACACACATATATATATATATATATAACGAATAAATAGGCCTATTCGAGAAATATATTTTTACTTAATAAATTAAGAAAATAAAAGAAAAACTGTGCAGCAAGTAGCCTAGTATGCAGAGTTTCGGTTCATTTTTGTGCGATTCACATAGCCATCATATCACGCACCTGCAGCGCTTTTGCCAGCGGAATACATAATAAAGCTAGGCTATATATATATACACATATATATATATAACGAATAAATAGGCCTATTCGAGAAATATATTTTTACTTAATAAATTAAGAAAATAAAAGAAAAACTGTGCAGCAAGTAGCCTAGTATGCAGAGTTTCGGTTCATTTTTGTGCTGTGTGAAAGGAAACAGACGGCAGAAAGCGGCATCCTATTTTTCTTTAGCCTTATTTTACAAAAGCACAAAGATTTGTTTTTATTGTGAATGTACACAAATAAAGGCAAACCTTTTACAATTCCGATTATCTTTATGACTAAAAGGAGTAGTTGTTTCCACTGTTAGAAGGAAAGAATTCAAGTGATTGCGCCGGCGCCGCATTCGCGCACACTGTTAAGCTTTGCTACCTTGACAATGCATTATCATAATAAGACAGTCAGTCAAACATATGAAAAAAACACACTGCTCAGTTTAAATATGTAGTCAAATCTGTGCCATTAAGTGTTATCACCGTACCGCCGTGATGTTATGAAAAACATTTAGTTTTACGTGGATATTGGAACGCGAGTGAAGTAGGCTACATATAATATTTTGCCATTCAAATACATCGCGAATACGGAAACATTTGATTTTGTGTCGAATGAGAGACCCAACGTTGGTTTCAGTTTCGTTTTGGCCTAAATGAGTTCCTTTTGGCTTGTTGTTTATATTGCTATAGCTTCTTATATTTTTCATTCTTGTTCTTTTCTAAATACTGTTAATTGAAAGGCTTTGTTGTGGAGTGAGAGGAACTAAAATAGCCTAGCTATGTTTACAGTATTTATTATAATGTTTGTAAACACTTATTCTAAATTGTACTAATATTTCACAATATTACTGTTTTTACGATTAAATAATTGCAGCCTTGGGGAGCATGTTCTTTCAAAATGTCACAATATTGTATCCCAATTTTTGAACAGTAGTTATTTCTATTGTTTGACCAAGTGGAAACATTTAATCCGTTTAAATTTTTCAACATGTTGTGTCCTAGTGTGAACTATACAAAGTAAGCCACATACCCTATAGTCATGATAGCGTCCCTGTTTTGGCAGTTGCCCGTCCAGATGGATATTTTATCCCCCTTTGGCCTGACATTGACCACAGCTCCACACACGTCTTCACTGGCCTCATCGAAGGACTCTCCGATTAAACACAACAGCTGCAAACAACACGGACAGTCAGTATGAAGTTGACATCGCAAACTGAGCTGTCCACTAATCCATATGAAAACATGAGCAAAAAAAAAAAAAAAAAAACTAAACTCCCACTCACTCCATCCAGGGACACAAAATAATCGGGACATCAGTGTTTTTTTCATTTTTACTAACGGCTAACATTCATCTCTTTATCAGCATGCAGATAATTAAACCAGCAGTGGCATGGCCAGAGTGATGCCCACAGAAATTCAGAAATGCACCTGCTTTGCAATAACACGTTTGGTTAATAATCAACCACACATTTCAGGCAGGCCATACACACACACACACTTCCTCATCTTACCTTAAATAAACAGTAGTCACAGCCAAATCCAAGCTTACTGGGCTGCTGTATGTGATTGTATAATCTGAGGAGTGAAAGGAAATGGTGCCAAGTCAAATCCATCATGATTTGCCACTCAGGAGTTTCAAGCTTTGCTATAAGGAAAAAGGGGACAATAATGTGACTTCAACATATGAAAAGGAAAAAACACTTACGCCCAGAAATCTTCCACTGTGTCAAACTTGGAGATGAGACGCAGATTTTCTGTCCAACTTTTGCTCTTGTCATTTTTGAAATACCAGAGAGCCCATCTACAGGGACGCAAATAAGGACAGTGAGCACAGGTCTCTTTGGGTCACTCATTTAATATTCATGCAGAAGCTCTCAAAGAGAGGACTCATGCTGTCCTGTTAACCAATGGAAAAACCATGACTGCACTACAAAAATTAAGAAATATTACAGGTTACAGTATAAATGGATCATGTGACACTAAGTTCTTCTGCTGCTGAAGCTCAAGTTGTCCTTTAGATCATCTTGAATCGTGTTGGAGAACATGATCATTAGTTTTCACACAAACTTGTGGAGTTCATGCAGCTTCAGCGCTGCTGTCACTCAAGCCAATACTAAGTCACTCAAATTCATCTTTCTTTTTCAACTAAACTTTTCAATCAAATGGTTCTACTGATAAGAATTTGTAACAGAAAAAAAGTATTTTAAAAAATGCAAACAATGATTAATTGTATTCAGCAAGGACACATTAAATTGATCAAGTGACAGTGAAGGCGTTTATAATGTTACAAAAGATTGCCATTTCAAATAAATGATGTTCTTTTAACCTTTCTATTCACTAAAGAATCCTGTAAAAAGTCTCACAGTTTCCACAAAATATATTAAGCAGCACAAATGTTCAACATTGATAATAATAAGACATGTTTCTTGAGAAGCAAATCAGAATATTAGAATGATTTGTGAAGGATCATGTGACACTGAAGACTGGCGTAATGATGCTGAAAATTCAGCTTTCCATCACAGGAATAAATGACACTTCTAAAAATGACTGCCTTGCAATACAAGCTGAAATGTGAATGTTGCACTCCGTCTTTCGGTAGACTGAGTGACAGCTTTCATAATGAATGAAGGTCCTCGCAGATCTAAATATCACAGGAATAAGCCACGGGCAGTGAAAAGGCAGAAAGGGCTGGAATGAGACAGCTCAACATGTGAGCTCAGCACTTCCTGCAGCATGCTGGCGGACTGCCACCGCGTCGCTCATATGACTTCTGAGCTCAGAACGACACTAAACACTACTGCCACCTAAACTGTGACTCTCTCCACACCATGTCACGCAAGACTAGATTTGTAAGCATCACATAGATATTGGTAAAGAGATCTCCCTTTAATCACAGTAATGTCCACATGGCCCCAGGACCACATAGACTGTGACCCCTAACGCACTAGGACTGCATCAAGTCATCTGTGCTCAGTACAGCATGTGTTACAGATTGGGAACATCAAATAAGATTACACAGAAGTGAAATGAGTTTACCTGTGTTGCAAAGGGTGTTTGATGTACTGTTCAGGACTTGTCACAGCAGCAGCAGCAGTCGTAGGACTATCAGCACGGCCTTCTTCGTTTTCGTTTTCATTTTCAGTTCCTCGCTGCATAAATGCAAAACAGTAAACCAATTTAATTTCCCTGACCTTTTCCCAGTAACTTCAGTGAGGTGTATCTGGCAAAAAGTGGCAGAGCAGAAAAAGAAAAAAACTAGGGATGCACCGATATGAAAATTTTGGCCGATACCGATAACCGATTATTCTTTATTTTTGAAAGCCGATAACCGATATGTTGGCCGATAAATCTATATCCAAATTGTTATATACTTTTTGAGAGCCTGATTACAAAAAAGGTCTCATCAATTTTTCCATGACGGTGGGAAAACTGATAAAGTTCAGGGTCGTTCGGAAATATCCCGAAATATATCTGCATAAGTCGTGATCCTCTCAACCTTAAACGGGCCTACAGCACATTCTGTGCACCTGTAAGTCTGTCTTCTCTGCTAAAGGTGCTCTTGAACAAGCTGACATCTTTCTTTGGATAAATAGCAAAGATACTAAATGGCAACAGCTGTTGCAATAGCTAACTATTGGCCCCTAAACCACGGGACATCTGATCAGACTGACTGGACCTTCAGGCCTGTTACCAAGACAACTAGCTCGATCACAGCCTGTACTTCATACAGTGTAGTAGCCTAAGTTACTGATCACACTACAGAGTCTAATTTCCAGCTCAATTTGGAGTCATACACCCTCTACTGTCGGCTTCGCTATAAGCTTCTCCAAACACATGCTCACTTATTTCTGCGATCAATGACTTTCGTGCTATTTACGGAATCGAACTACACGGTAACGCAGTCGCGCGCACTGAAACCACACATTTCGTTGAAATCATGAATTATGAGCGGTATTAAGCAGCCACGACTGAGCGCGCTAGCCGATCAGCGTTAGCCACGAGCACACGTGTCCAGATGTCTGGAGAGCTGGCCTCATCACGTCGAGACGAGAGAAAAACCGTCACCATTCACGCGCAAAGCGTGACGGTATCATTCCGCCGATCCGAAGTGAGCCGTGAACGGGTGAGAGGACCGATGAATTGTCGTTGTCCGGACCCTCCCTGTCTCTGAAGTCACCAGCAGCAGTGGCGCCCCGAACCCCCCACTCAACGCCTGAAGGACACCTCCGACTTTCAACAGTGCTGCTCACGGGTTAAACACGTCCAGCAGACAACACGACAGACGCCGCTTTACCATTTCTGGTCGCTGGGAAGCCCTAAATGAAAGAAGCCCGCTCCCTCTTACCGGCTCCGAAGTCGCCATCTTGCCTCTGTGAAAATTCTTCTGACCGTTGGACGCTGCTGCGTCACGCACGCGCTCGAGAATCTACGGAAGCTGGCAGGGCTTAGCGGGACGCGCGAGACAGAAACGCTATTTTGAAACACACATTTAAAATCAAAAGAATCTTATTATGTAATTGTATGTAGACAAGTGTCAGGATGCAACAATACTAATGTCAGTTTAATAATAAAGCATTGATTAATGAATGATAACGATCAACTAAATAGCCTACAAACAGTAAGGTCTACACAATCTTATTGTAAAGCAAACTAATGCTAATATTTGAATGGTGAAGTATACTTGCTCTAATTTATAATCGCATTACAGTAGGCCTAATGGAAAGCACCACTAATGCCAAGAAAATAATGTCACAATCCAATGAATCTTTATGCAAAATATCATTTGTATTTTGTGTATAATTTGTGGTGAAATGACCTGGATATGATTTTGTATGACTCATCCATGTACTGTAGCATTTACATCTGCTTTACATCATGGTACATATCCAAATTAGCTGGTAGTAACATGGTACATTTTGGTAGTTTGCTAGTTTAGCTAACAACATATTCAAATAACTAACTAAACCTCCTAATAAAACAGCCCATAAAGTTCGTATTATGTCTCATTAATTTAACATAAATGCTGCTGAAAAATCAGTGGCGTGGGATCCTCACACTTCTGAGTTGTTTTGTTCTGTAGCTCTATCATGTCTGCTTTAGAGCGTGTATTCCCGTGCAGGCTTCAGCCTAAAATCCTCCAATCCTCCTACATACAAGGTTCACTTGCATTCTGCAAGAGATGTGCACACACTAACCTCCCCCACTTGTGTCTGCCTGACTCTCCTGCTGACCCTGTACAACAGAAATCACACAGCTGCTCTTTAGGCAAGGCAAGTTTATTTATAAAGCACATTTCATACACAATGGTAATTCAAAGTGCTTTACATAAAAGAAAATAAAAACAATAATCACAAGGAATTAAAAAACTTTGAAAATGATAAAAAAAATTGATTTAAGAGGTTTCAAATTAATTTAAAACGGTTAAGAATAGAAAATGATTATACAAAAAAAGCAGTGCAATCAGTTCGGACGTTGCACAGTGCTCATTCAATAAGTGCACAGCTAAACAGATGAGTTTTGAGTATTCTTCAAAATGCACTTTCATATGCTAAAAAAATGGATTAGAAGTATATAACTTCTTAACTAACTGTATACCTATAAGTTGACTTGTAGTGTAGTTGCTATAAGTTAAACTATAGTTTTGTTGTTAAAGTTTGCTATTGTTACACTTGAAAGCATACTAAGAACACATGAAAGAATACTTTTATAAACTAAAAGGGTCAACTGACCCCCCAAGAAGTATTGAAATTACATACGTATACAAGTACATGTACAAGTATTAGTGCATTAATATGAGTATACTTACCACATATTTGGAAAATATACTTTACTTAAGTTTACTTATATTAAAATGAATGTTGTAAGGGAAGTTATCAACATCAAAGCTGACGTTTTACTATAAACATGAACATGTACATTTATAAGATAGAATGTAAAACTACTAGCAACATTCTGTATGAAAAAAGTATTTAATAGGCTACTCTATCTAAAAAGTGCTGTAAGTATATCTTGATCAAAATATTAAATATAGGCTAAGTGTACTCACACTGAATTTCAGATCTGCATTCAAGCATACTACTTTTACCAAATCTTTTTAGAATTTGATTTTTCTGCCAGGAAAATCACTCTTTATGATAACATAGTTAGGGAATTGTTATTCCTGAACACATTTGGCAGATATAAGCCAAATACATATTTGATCATGGTCCTTACTAATATTCCAAAATATTTTCGAAAATCTATTCAAAATATCTGATGTTCTTGAAAATACACAATATAAAATATACGTGGGATGGAAATACTTCATCATCTTTTTGTTACACATGATGGTTTTACACAAAAACAACAGTTTCATTGTTCAGCAAAAGTAGATTTAATTGACGAGACAGTAGCGTGAACGTACCCATGCCACTCTGTGACTTCAAGTTCCCCAAAACATAGGTTCACATTGGGTTACTGTTGAGCTTTTCTATCTTTGTCGTAGCTACTAGTTAAAAACACATTTTCAGAGATACGGTGAACAATTTCTCACAACCTATATGAAAAGATGTTGTTTCAAGTGCTGCATTTTGGGTGTACAATGGTTTTGAACACTGACGTACACTTTTTAGCACCTTAAAGATGAAATTAAAAAGACATATCTTAGCCGTATGTTCATTTGAAACCTCATGTAAGAGTAATGTAAACCTTTTGTTTGAGCCAATATCTTGACTAGGCCTCTGGATACATATGCAATTATGAAGTCATTAGTTTTAAAATTGATATTTTCATTCAATGCACCCAAATAAAACCAAACATACATGCGTATAAAAATGCACGGACTGATACACCCCATCCCTCACACCAAAAGGTGATTGGTTTTTAAAATAAAAAATACACTATGTAGCAATAAAAATAGATGAAATGACATCTCAGGAGGTGTCATGGGATCTCTTTAAAAGCACCAGTGAAAAACATACAGTAAATTCGTTTGAACATAACACGCTTGAATTGTATAAAATGATTAAGCTGTTTTCAAGTCATGTTTCAAACTCTTTGGGAGTTAAAAAAAAGAGAAAAAAGAAAAAGAAAAAAAACCGGGACCAAATAATATTAACTTTTACATAAGTGCCAGAAATTAACCAGTTTGGACACCTTGTCAAAATGCAGCATAAAACCTTCCATGATTATTGCTTAAATATGCAAAGTTTCATAATCATGACTGAGTCCACACTAAACACGTGATTGTAGATACTTGATGATGAATAAACCAAACGTGCATCTTAGAAACTTCAAAGGTCAAGTTGGTCTGAAGATACAAAGCGCTTTTTAAAGGATGCCATGTACTATGTCTCACAACAGTGTTGGGGATAGTTACTTTTAAAGGGGTCATCGGATTCCCATTTTCCACAAGTTGATATGATTCTTTAGGGTCTTAATGAAAAGTCTGTAACATAGTTTGTTTAAAATTTCTCAATGGTAGTGTAAAAAACACCTTTTTTACCCTGTCGAAAACCGCTCTGTTCATAGCGAGCCATTTCCTTGCATGCCGCTTTAAATGTTAATGAGCTCTGCTGACCCCGCCCCTCTCTTCTGAGCCGCTCTCTGAGAGACGGTAAACTTTAGCCACATTCATCGTCAAACTTGCTAACTAGCACATTATTAGGAAAGGCGATTTGCAAAGATTCATTAGAAAAATCTTACACTCACTTCTTCTGGAGGTGAAGCTGGATCGCGAATGATTCACGCGAACACAGACGCATTTAAGTAGATCAGGGGCACATTCCCTTCAGAAACAAATGCAATCCACTGCGAGTTCAGCAGCTCAGATGTCGGGAGTAAATGACTACTGCTATGGTCATTATTACATCCAACAACAAAACACGTAAATCGCTTAGGAGACATTCTTGTCTACATCTGCTCCGGCGGTGAAACAATGGCGGACTGATGACAGCTCACTCAGGGTCTAAGGAAAGACGCCAGGCCAGTCTGTGCTGAAGCGCTGCTGGCTATCAACTATTGTGAGAGGGGGCTGTCTGTGTGACGTCACACAGACAGGCATCTGAGATCAGCTCGATTTGAGAAAGGGGAAATGATTTAATGAGATTTTAAAAGAATAATAATCTGGGTGGATCATTATCATTATAGGGTGGTTGTGTACACACACTGCCAACACACATAGCTTGTAAAAGTGCATGTCACATCCGATGACCCCTTTAGTAATGTATTACAATATTGTGTTACTCCATAAAAAGTAACTAATTGTGTTAGTAATGCATTGTTACTTTTGCGTTACTTTTTGTCATCTGGGCTAGGCTTGCTTATTTGTTTTTTAATAACAAAACCCCCAAAAGTTATATTTTTGGCAACTGTAAAGGCCCTTTCACACCAAAAATTTAATTAATAAGCATCTGCACCTCACTCCTAGTTGCTCTCAGCACGGGGACAGTAGAGGTGTCAGTGAATAAATGAGAAAACAATGTGTTACTTATTTAAAAAAAGTAACAGATATTTTGCTGTAAATTGAAAAAAGTAATGCGCTACTTTACTAGTCACTTGAAAAAAGTAATCTGATTATGTAACTTGTGTTACTTTAATGCGTTACCCCCAACACTGTCTCACAATGCCGAAACAATGTACTGACAAAGTTCCTGTTATGACCCACGTGTGGTTCATATTGGTCATTTAACCTTACTGCTACAATGGCACCATAAAATAGCAACTACCGTGTGTTGGACAAGACAGCACCCAAGGCTGAGACGAGAATATAGAATTCACATTTGACAATGTCAAATCGGAGTGTTTACTACACACATAATTTAAAGGATGACATACTCCTATTGCAGCAAACAGGCTTGGACCAGAAATTAAATTACAAAATAGTCTTGAAAATGATCAGAATAAATAATCACATCTTCTATGCACTAATTTCATCTATATGTATAAAACCAGTTTTATAACATCTGTTCTGAGCACCATCTCTTTACAATAAAAAAAAAAAACACTGACATACACACCAAAACTCACAGTTAAAAACCCACAAACGGTAGTCTATTTCTTCGTAAAAGCTGAGATGAAGAGCACAACTGAAGAAGGGCACACATAAAAACGGGCATGAAAGGATGAGAACTAGCTGAGGTAAGGCATTAGCTAGACAAGCACACAGAATTTCACGTCCAGCGGTTGTAAGGCCCAGTGACGTGCGTGAGGGCGTAGGGCGCTGACATGACGACGCCGTCACTCGTAACTGTTAGCGATTGACGGGTAGGGACCTGAAGCTTGTGTCTCTCTTCCGGATAAGTCTCGTTTTCTCTCTCCGTATCCAAATCCATCTCCTTTGACCTATTGTTGAGTCCCAGACGCTCGGCTTCCTCTTTCTCCCTGGCCTTCTCGGCCATTTTAGCCTCCCATTGTTGCAGGCCGTGGCCCGGGGCATTCAGGCTCTTGTGCTGGTAGAAGACCAGGGAAATGCGGGTGGGATGTGTGCGGTTAGGCCGCAGGATGGGAGTGGTGGCATGCAGTTCCCGTCGAGCGCATTCGATCAGGATGGAGCCATGGGAAGGGGCCACCGCAACCCCGCCGATATCCCCATCGAGGAAATTGTGCTCGCTGTCCGACCACAATTCCTCTGCTTTACCCACATTTGGGGTCAGGGGTCGCACCGTAAGTGGAGGGTTGCGGTGGTCCTCCAGGTTTGAGCAACTGTGGAGACCCTCGGCTGTGGGCGGGGAGAGCGGGGTGGGAGCTGCGCCGCCCTGGAAGCACCGTATCTCCTCAGGCTCGGATTTGAATGAGGGAGAGTATTTCAAATTCGTTCTCAGAGGATCGTTCGGATATGAGTTTCTGAACAGTTCAGACATCTGCCTGATGTTCTCGAGTCCGTGTCTAAGAGAAGGAGAACCACTGCTGTGGCTGGTTCCTCTTGAGGGATCATGTGGTTGAGCAAACTCTGGGTGTGTGGACAAGCCAAAGCCAGAGGCCTCAGGAAATGTGTGGCATGTGTTACTCTGGTTGTACGGGACAGTAGAGCGGAAGTCTGAGAATTGCTCTCCAATGCCCGGAACCCCAGGCAATCCCATTGTGGAACTTAAATTACGAGCTTCTTTTTCTGAACATGGTGAATGTTCAACAGAGTTGTGCTTGAAACCTGTGGACAGAACAAGAATAATAAGAAGAAGAACTTAATATAGATGAGAGATAAGAGCACCTCCACTTTAGAATCCTACAATCACCAACATTTCCTGGATTAAATCAGCAGCCCACCACCAGCCCCTATTTTATGATCAATTCTCAAGAGAAATTTATACCATTTTACAAAATAATGTTAATTTATCAAAAGCAGCAAGTATTTAATTTACATAATGGATTGGAATTTATCCCACTGCATATCCCTATAAAACACATGGAGGTGTCCACTGTATGTACACTTTATAATACCGGTGGTTATCCGGCTATTTTTTGACTACTTTTAGGAATAAAAGGCAACCTGTTCTTGAAATTTGGTTTTAGTATATATTTAGTTCAGAAAACGGTAAAAACTGAAAATTCCATCTAATGCCAATAAACTAATAAATATTTTCATGCTATAGTTGAATAGCATTCATTTTGAGATTTGCTAAAATGTAATGTAACAGTGTTTTAAAATTCTTTATAAAATACTTGTTAAATAATATAAAAAAATAAACATTATTAAGAGAAAAAAATAAATTTTATTAATGAGTATTAAAATGAGAAGATGGCAAACATGATCTATTAGCATGCGAAAATTAGCATGTGTAAATAAATATTCAATATCGACAGATATTAACAAAAAAAAAAATCTGTAATATTGCAGGTAACAGAAAACCGATTGTTACTGGAACGTCCTGGCTCACACTTTGAGACAACCTGTTTTAGAGGTCACCTTAAAGGGATAGTTCACCCAAAAATGAAAATTCTGTCATTAATTACTCACCCTCAAGTCGTTATTTTTGTTTTCTTTGTGCACAAAAAGTATTCTCATAGCTGCATAACATTATGATTGAATCACTGATGTCACAAGGACTATTTTAGCGCTGTGCTTACTACCTTTCTGTGCCATAAAACATTTCAGCAGTGTTGTTATCTATGCAGGGCCAGAAAGCTCTCGGATTTCATCAAAAATATCTTAATTTGTGTTCTGAAGATGAACAAGGGACTTATGGGGTTGGAACGACATGAGGGTGAGTAATTAATGACAGTATTTTCATTTTTTGGTGAACTAACCCTTTAAGTGTACGTTAACACGACAACGATGTCCAGGAAACTGAAAAGTTTTCCTTTGCATTTTAGAAAGGTTTCGTGGCCAGTAGTTGGTGATGTCACTTTGCTAAGAAACACTGCGCACATACGCATTCCTATAGACTGAACACGTCATAAGTATGAGCATGACATGCCCATTTTCACAAATTCACGTTTTTGTTGTTTACACAGAGACGATAACCATATAATTTAAAAAAACTTAAAGGGGTCATATGATGCGATTTAAATTTTTCCTTTCTCATTGGAGTGTTACAAGCTCTTGGTGCATAAAGAAGATCTGTAAAGTTGCAAAGACTAAAGACTCAAATCCAAAGAGATATTCTTTATAAAAGTTAAGAGTCAGCCACACCTACCTAAAACGGCTCGTTCTAACACACCCCCACATGTCTACGTCACGATGTGGGAAGATTTGCATAACGCTGCCCAAATGTTCACACAAAGAAAGAAGGCGTAACTTTTATTCTCGCTGTAGCATTGTTGTTGCCACCATGTCGTGAAGACGCTGTGTGTTTCATTGTGAAAGCGAAACTACTTTGTTTGGTCTTCCAAAAGAGGACGATATCCGCTTCGTCATGCCTGGAGCTGATCCGTGCTGGTCGCTGAGGAAATACATCAACTTCGTGCTGTGGATCGCCGGATCAGCTTTCACTGTAGACAAAGCAGATTCCAGCCCGGGGTCGTCACATGTGGTTGCCACAAGCCCACCGGCCGCGCCGTTCTCAAGCCCGCCGTGTGTGATGGTGTGTTTCATTGTGAAAGCGAAACTACTTTGTTTGGTCTTCCAAAAGGAGACACGAATAGAAATCAGTGGTTAAGTTGTATTTACAACACTGTTCCAGAACAGTACAACCCAAATATTCAGATGTGTGCAGCACATTTTGCGGAGGATGAGGACTGTTTCCTGTGAGAGTAGCCTACAATGTTATGTCTACAATGTCTGTTTCTATAAAGTGGGGCAGTGGGGCAACTTTGCAAGGACAGTCTGGCGCTTCTGACTCACAGCCTGTAAGTAAGTTTTTTATATTTAAAGAATTTGCCACTGATGATTCAAATGCGAGTTTTGAGCAGTGTAGAGTAGCACTTGTTGTTTGTCGTTTCTCCAGACATGGTTTTATGTTTACACAGCGCGATACGCAATGCGTAAAAAGACAGTATAAGTCATTATAATCAGTAATTATGTCCCCACTGGATGCAACAAATGCCTAATTTGTAATGGGTTTTATTGTTTTTGTCTCGTCGAGCCAGGACACGGCATCACAGTATGGTAAGGGGCGCAACATTTCTGTCACACGCTTGAGGTATTCAGCCAATCACAACGTACTAGATAGCTGGCCAATAAGTGTACACCTCACTTTTCAGAACGATGAGCTTTGTAAAAATCGGTGAGTTTCAGAAAGGCGGGGCATAGAGGAGCAACAATAATGTACATTATGTGGGAAATAATGTGTTTTTTAACCTTAAACCGCATAAACATTGCATTACCCCAAATACACAACCTAATGTTCTTTTTAGCAATGTCATATGACCCCTTTAAAAAACCTGTTTTCAAAAGTTTGCATTTTCATACCCCCCAAAAGGCGTTGTTGTGTAAATGACTGGCCAAAACGCATACGTTTTTTTTGTTGAAAATGGTGTCGTGTAAATGCCTCTTAAACCAGGGGTTTTCAAACCTCCCCAGCACTACACATTTTGAATGCAGAGAGCTGAAAAAATCCTGCCTTAAACCAACATATACACATCAAGAAGATGGCATGCCTCTTAAAAAGGAAGGCTGAACCAGGTATACCTTTAAGAGGCTCGTTCTTCACTTTTATAGGGGTGCCCTGCTTACTGTCCAGGCCGCTTAGTTTGTCAGCATGGGCTCTTTTAGCCTCCATCCTCCTCTTGCGTGCTGATTTGACAGGCTCTGCCAGCATCCTCACTTCTCTTGGGAAAGAAGAGAGGACCTGCATTGCCCCAGACTTTATCTTGGCCCACTGGCCCTCAGCATGGCCAAACTCATCTGTGTCAGAGATCTTGTAGAGCGGCAGGACGTGCAGCTGCTCATCCTCTGGAATGTTCCGCACTGCACGGTTATCCTCCTTGGTTAAAGTGCATACCTGTGGTTCACATGAGGCAAATGCATCTCATTTATCTCATTTAGAAAATGAAAAAGAAAGTATTAGAAGGACATTGACATTAATAGTGGAAGTGAGACTCACCACAGTGCTTCCATTGGTCATGTTTTGTGTGTCTCTGTGGGCATGAGCACAGAAGTCCACACACGCAGTCACACCAGAGAACGGTCGACCTTCACTCCTGCCCAGCCGACAGTCCTGCCCCTGCTGCTCCTGCTCCACCTGACGGGTTACAGATCATTATGATGCTTTCCTTACAAATGTACACAGGGCTCAGTCTTGGATGCTTTAGAAATATCAACATAATCAACTAAATAATTTAAAAAAATTTTACCGTCGAGTTCTGCTTTAGAGCAGTTTTAACATTGTGAGAGATTGTGACATTTTGATTATGTAATTCCTACCTGGTTCTGAAAGGCATCAGGAGCAAGTTTCTTGTACATGGGGGTCAAATCTGATGCCAGATTCTGCAAGTTTTTCTCCAACTTCTTCTCCTAACCACAAAATCAAACATTATTGCCATTTGAAGGATGAATTAAAATGACCATCAATCATAAATACACTACCTTTCAAAAAATTTGGATTGGCAAGGATGCTGCAAGGATTTACTTGATTCAAAAATACAGAAATACAGCACATTTAAAGAAACTATTTTGTATTTTAATACATTTTTAAAATGTAATTTTTTCTTGTGATGTAAAAGCTGAATTTTCAGCAGGCATAACTCATAACATTCTTCAGTGTCACATGATCCTTCAGAAATCATTCTAATATACTGATTTGGTTCTCAAGACATTTCTTATTACTATCAATGTTGAATGCAGTTGTGCTGCTTAATATTTTTGTAGAGACCTTTTCTTCAGGATTATTTGATGGATAGAAAGTTCAAAATAATATTTATTTGAAATATAAACTTTTTTTTTACCATTACAAGTGCATTTACTTGCTAATGAAAGTATTACTTAAAAAAATTCTTACTGACACCAAGTAGTTTTAGATGTTAATTCACTAAAATGTATTTTTTAAAATTATTATTATTATTTAATTTGTTTATTTGACAGGGACTACAAAAAATAGCCTGTGCATTGCGACTGCTGTTATCGTTGTTTATATTAGGTTTTCACAGTACATTTGTAATATTGCAGGATGGCTCTAAAACTTGGATGTAGAAGATGCGCAAGATTACTACAATCTGCCGTACTTTACACAACATTGCTCCATCACTGCAAATTCAGGCCCCCGAATTGTCTGAAAGTGTATAATCTATAATGAGGATAATTTACTTAAAAAGAAGGCGTGTTTGCATTGAAATTAATGAATGATTGAATGAATGAATGAATGATGACAATACACAAAGTCACAGTGCTATTTTAACGCATATTTCGCACCTGGTCAAACTTTATTGGTGGGGTTTTTGCAATGAAAAAACATCATGCATACAACTCTTTTATGGATTCACCCTTTGATTTAAGTCCACCATGTGAGCGATTTTCTGTTAACTGTTTTACTTAGTGCCACTAGAGGGCAACAGGTTAAACTGGTTCAGGTAAACAAGGTAATTCAGGTATGCTCACACAGTATACTCTCACCAGAGTTGCACTCTCATTTAAAGCCACTATGGCAGGATTTTGAAAATCAGCATGATTCTTCCATAAAAAAGTATTTCTTTACACATTTGGTCTGAGAATGTATTTCCCATGACCATCTAGTGCTCACCTCCTCAGGATTGTCTCCCTGCAGTCTGAACTTCCGGGGCATTTTGCTGCGTGCAAACTTGCAGCCATTGAAGTACATACTCCAGGAGCAACCAAACGAGAAAGAGGCACCGCAGGTCTCTGGGTCCAGACCCTGACACGCACATGTACGACTAACAGGAGAGATGAAGAAGGTAAGGTAAGTTACAGTGCAATACACTATAATATAAATTAATATAATACAGAACTTGCTGGTGGTGCTATTATATGCATGGAAATGTGGAATATGTGCACATTAAATTATTAATGCATTTAACGCATCCCGAAAGGGGCCCACACCTGTATTGCATCTTATATTGCATTACATGACGAACGTGATGCAGGGCAATGACTTGTCGTGTAATGTAGCCTATAAGAATATAGTTATATGCCCCTAAAATTCAAGGATAAGAGGGCAAAAATGCCCCTGTATAGGTTTTTGTCTTACATTTACATGATACAGTTTAGCAATATCACACAAGCAAGTTTTTTTTCTTCCAGAATATCTTCACGATTGAAAATGTGAAAATGATTTTATTAAACAGTTCAATAAACAATCAGTTAAAACGGTGTTAAATTTTAGTCAATGAAAAAAGTTCCAAACAAAGCTGCAGCGGAACTTGTTTCATTCTTGAATGAATCAGCTGTTTGAATGAATAATTTGAATGATTGACTGAATGACTCACTCATTATGAAATAATTTTTGCCATCTACTGGCAGTTCTACATTCATATTGAGAGTATATATATATATATATATATATATATATATATATATATATATATTTATTTTTTATCATCAAGCTCATTAATACCCATGTACTATCATTATTTATGCAATGCTGAATCAAATTTCTTTCTAAATCTACTTTTCATAATGTTTACTAAGTGATTTTCTCATCGAATGTAATCATGACTTTAAATGATAATTTGGGTGGTATATATATATATATATTTATTTTTTATCATCAAGCTCATTAATACCCATGTACTATCATTATTTATGCAATGCTGAATCAAATTTCTTTCTAAATCTACTTTTCATAATGTTTACTAAGTGATTTTCTCATCGAATGTAATCATGACTTTAAATGATAATTTGGGTGGTAATTTCTTGGCCTAATTTTTTCACAAATGAATTAACTTTTATGACAGAAATTAAAGGCTTAGTTCACCCAAAAATGAAAATTAGGCTGCATTTTACTCACCCCCGAGGCATCCTAGGTGTATATGACTTTCTTCTTTCAGACGAATCCAGTCGGAGTTATATTAAAAATTGTCTTTGATTTTTCAAGCTCTATCATTCCAGTCAGTGGGTGTTGCACTGCTTCAGTCCAAAAGAAGTTAAATAAATGGTGCCCATGCATAAAAAAAAGGGTCTCACACAGCCTCGGGGGGTGAACAAAGGCCTCCTGTAGCGAATCGATGCGTATTTGTAAGAAAAATATCCATATTCAAAATTTAATAATCACTTTAATGTAGCTTGTGCCGGCAGTTGTACACAGAAGCAGTTCCGGGAGCATGACGTATGAGGTCAGCGTTGCGCATGTGCCGGTGACTCTCGTGAAAACCAACATTTGTTTACAGTCAATCCTCTGACATTCTTCTTTACAAATCCTCGTTTTGTACTTCTAATTCTTGACCGTTGTTTTGTTTTGATCTCTCTGCTGCGCTTCTGCGCTCGTCACTTCTCACCGGCGCATGCGCTACCCATGCGTCCTATGTCATCCACCCGGAGCTGCTTCCGTGTACAACAGTGAGCGCAAGCTAGATTAAAGTGATTATTACGTTTTGAATATGGATATTTTTCTTACAAAAACGCATCGATTCGCTACAGGGGGCCTTTGTTCACCCCCCGGAGCCGTGTGAGACACTTTTTTATGGATGGGCACTTTTTATTTAACTTCTTTTGGACTGATGCATGCAACACCCGCTGACTGCAATGATAGAGCTTGAAAGATCAAAGACAATTTTTTATATAACTCCGACTGGATTCGTCTGAAAGAAGAAAGTCATATACACCTAGGATGCTTCAGGGGTGAGTAAAACGCAGCCTAATTTTCAATTTTGGGTGAACTAACCCTTTAAGTTTTCCATTAAGGAGCTATATTTGTGCATTTTCTTACCTTTGTATGGGCAATTTTTGTAATAATGACCTTATTAAATAGATATCTTTTTAAATAAAATATATTAATTTAATAAATTAATTAAATCAATCAGAATGTTACCAAAAAATTTATATATATAGCCTTTGTGCATGCAATTGAAGAGCACGCGCTTCGAGCACAGTACCATTTCCGCGCTCGCTTGACTCACGCCTGGCACCGAAGTGAAGAGGAGCGCGTGTCTGAAACGTCTCCTTGTTCTTCGACTGAATAAGTGCACTTATTGTCAAGAGAAAAAGTGACAGAAGCAGCAGTTGTGAGTGGGGTGGCCAACCCTAGCCCCGCCCCTGCATTAATTGCGTTATATGCTTTTATAAACTAAACTAAAAAAATAATCACCTGCGTTAGCTCGCTAATTTTGACACCACTAATATATATATATATATATATATATCAACACCAACAATGACTTAGTTCATTACTTTTTTAACATATTAGAAAATCAAGATTTCACTTAAGTTTATGATGAGAGAATTTGTGGAACTGCAGAACTATAAACATCTCTGACTGGCCATCACATTCATGTGCTCAGTTATTGTTTATAATGCTCAACACTGCAAAAAACACTATACAAAAATAAACTTTGACACATTGTGAGCAGATCTGAATGTAATGCCGCAATCAACACTTATTCATGTTCACATTTCACTTTAATCGCAATTCTTTATTTTTAATTGTGCAGTCATTTTTTGTCCTCATATCTTGAATTTTTTGTTAATTTTGGTGTAATTTTTGCCCTAAGATAATTTCTGACCCTGCTTTCTACTAATCTAGCCTGGTCTTTTCAGCAGTGAATGTACACTTATAAAATGAGGGAGTGAAGGAGTTGGTGTAAAAGCTTAAAGAAAACACTTCACAAACACTTCAAGAACAACCTCCAAATGTTCTTTTGTATTTGTTTGAGGGAGTGTGTACGTGAATCATTCCCACACACTCTGTCCGTATGTTACTTGTGACTCACTCCTCATTGAGGGCACAGCGGCGGCTAGTGGGCGAGCCATATTTGCAGAGAGTCTGTGTGAGCTCCTGGTACAGCCTGTCAGCCACACTGCGTGGGATCCCCTCCCAGGCCAGGATGAGAATGACTACCACTGCGTTCTGACAGCAGTGACCAGCACGCTGCCGCACAAGACACAACAGCTTCTCTTCCTCACTTCCTCGACGTATGATCTGCAGAATTTAACACATGTGCACACAGTATATGAAGGAACAGACATTCTGCAAGCTCTACGCAGACTGCTAGTTATTTCATGCGGGTCACTCACCCACTTGGCGATTGGGCAACCCTGTGAGCTCCGCCCCTCTTTGCCTGTATACACAACAACCTCCACACGGACTGCGTTGCCTTTCTCACCATATCTGTGATGAAAACACAGTGTTTATAGTGTTAAGCACTATAACAGTGGTTTTCAAAAGTTCAAATATTATGACATCATCATCAGGAGCATTTTGAATGGTGGTCATTTCAACAATATAACCAAAACAGAGATTTTCAAACTTTAATCTTACAAAGCAAACAAATGTTTAAATGGAGTCTGTATATTAAGTTGTCTGAATTTAATTAATTGCAGAAGTGTAATATTTAGGGTTAGTTTGAAACTAACTCTAACCAGAAGGTGGGATAGAGGGGGGACGGGATTGGGAAAGGTCCCCGAGCTGCTACACATTGGATAGCTTATAAATATTAAACATTATAATTATTATTAAATAATAATAATAATAAACATTTTCATTTTATTCTTATTTTATTAAACAAATGTATTCTTTTTTTATTAAATATAATTATTATTATTTTTTTTAATAAATATGAAACAATAATTGTAAAAATTATACATTTAAAATTAGGAAATTAAATGTATACATATACATTTAAAATTATACAGTAAAATTAATAAAAATTTGTATATTTTTTGTGTTGGATCCAGTGAAAACATTATTGCATGTAAACAACTGAGATCCACTTTACCTGTTCTCCATCATCTCTCTCACGGCTGCTACATTTGGGCCAGATCCAAGGTGAGTGTAGTACGGACCCTCCTCTTTCTCAATTATTTGTTCTGTAGAGGGAAATTGTGTTCATAGATGAACTGAAAGAAGTTCTAGCAAACTTTTATTTCAAGTTATGATATGGCTAATATGACTTACCCACACAGTCACAGGAGGGCAGCTCTGTGGTTTGTTTAGAGGGGGTGTTGAGGAGATTCTTGGTCGGTGTGTTCAAGAACCTCATTGGAGACTCAAAAAAGCTGTTGATCGTGTGCTTGGTAGGAGTCTGTTCTCCAGTGTATGCCACATCACCATTCTCCAAATGTACATTGGATGTGGACAACACTGTAACACCTCCAGACTTCTCCACTTTGTAAAATCCATTTTGATTTGTGTGCAAGTATTGATGATCATTAAAGCCGTTGGCTTTATGGTACATCCCTGGGCTTTGCGGCGAGTCTTTACAGGGTTCACTGGCCATGGTTTGCTGAGGTTGTTGTTTAGCACCATGATTTAGCACATCGTAGGTTTTCGATACCTGAGAAATCTTTTGTTGTTCACATTCATGCCTTGGCCACTGGCTAGCACCTAGATGGTCATTTGTATGATTGTGAAAGAGCCCGTTTGGTGGTGGTAAAGAATGACTTTGAGCTCCATGTTCGTATTTAAAGTGAAAGCTGTTCTGCTTACCAGAACCTAAGATCGTTTCAAAGTGCTCTTTCTTCAGAGAGTTGCTGTAGTATAAGAGCTGCCTGTTCTCGTGATGAGCCTCCGCTATGTACTTTTTCAGGTCTATCTGCGCTTGTGGAAGAAACGGACTCCTCTTGTGCTGGAACCTCATCTTTTGTTGTGAAATGGCTTTCTGAATGGTGGCCTTGAGTGGGGTTTTCCTGTTGGGCGTCTTCTTGGCCAATGGAATCCTACAATGGTTGCCCTCGATCTCAGCAGCTTTCTTCTTGGACATCCTGGGTTTTGATGGCGTCATTTTAGGTTTACTTTGCTTTTTTAAGTGCTGCCCCAAACAATTATTATTGTATTTCATGGTCTGAGTCGGCATACATTTCGGTGGATTGTTTTCAGAGACTTGCATCTGCCTGGATTCGATCATGAACGCAAGCTGCACCAATTGAGCTGCAACTTCCTCCTCATCCCTCTTTCTCGAGATTTGAGTCGCTTCTCCATGCTTATACTTCTTGAAAGTGCCTTCTAACCTATCAGCTTTACAAAGTGCTTGGCCATTTCTGCGGTTCTCCGTGGTACACGATAGCTTTTCACATTCTGAGCTGGCCACCAGAAGATCCTTCAAGGAAAGTTTTCTGGAGGTAGATGCACAATGCTGATTTTGGGTGAAGTAGGTCGACCTGTTCAGAGGGTTGCGGATGACAGAAGTCTGTTGCAATGATGAACTGATTACCGAGACCTTGTTAGAGAAAACATCTGAAACTGGTTTAGCCTCTCGAAGAGTTATGTGGTTGCTTGAAGCGGAGCATGTAGACGTTTCTCGTTGAGCGTCCTGACTCTGGTTTTCTGTTTCATAGGGCACTGTTTGTGGGGTAGCTGCCAGTTGGGTCAAGGCCTCAATAGCTATAGCCTGATCAACACTAATATTCCTATGCTGGACCAGAGACTGGACACTGAGTAAAGATAGTGCAATGTTATCATTCTGAGGAGGTTCTTCTGGACTTTCTCCTTGATTTAACTGACACTGATATGGTTCTTCTTTCGGCTCAGTTTTTAAACACATGTCTGAGGCCTGAGGCCCAAAAAGCCTCTCCTCTAGACTTTTCCTGTCCGTACTGGAGAAGCAGACCACAGCTGCAAGCGTAGATAAAGCATCCTCGTAGCACCCGCTAGTTTCTAAGCGCTTTGAGTGCGGGTCATCAATCTCAACCCATTGCTCCTCCAGTTTTATCTTCTTCAGAGGAACCATCTGTTCTTGAACGGACTCGGATTCACAACTTTTCTTAAACGTGGATCTATGGAATGTGGCATGTGGCTCAGTGGGATCCACATGCCTCTCAGTGTTTGGTTTCATGTATTCAGCACCATTATGAGAGGTTAGAGAACTGCTGTGAGGGAGAAGTACATCAGTGGCCATGGGCTCCTTTCCAGGAGGTGCTGGTAACAAGCCATGCTGGAGAGGTGTGGGAACATCAGGTGGAACATTGTGTGTTAAGGATACGCAATGCGCCTCTTCCTCTGGTGCCACACAGGTCTCCTCCATCTGCTCTGAGCTTGTGCCATTTACTGAATTTGCCTCTGACTCAACCTGCAGTGGAAAAATATAGAGATGCTTCAGCATGTTTCAGCTGTGGTGTGAAGCAGGACATAATGCAATTGGTCATCACAACTTATGACAGCTGGTGCCACAGTGGACCATGGCACATAACTTGGGGTGATTAAGCAATTCATGAAAAACACTTTTTTTATTTTCTTTTTCTGTGTTATGTACTAATGTGTTAAAACATTATTGTACATAATATCTATACACAAAATGTGTACTTTATGAAAAGGTTTGTGCCAACTTTAAAAACTATAAAGAGTGAGTGACATAATTTCTAATAAGCATTTCTTCAATATTCACAATATGGCAATTAATTAATTCACAATAACAACAACATTTTCTGAGGAATTTATAAATGGATCAGGATGATTCATTCTTATTTTTTAACAATTTTAAGTTACACTATGTGACTTTATTTTATATAACAAAATGTTATTAATGAGAGTTATTAATTAATCTTTTCATCTTTAAAATCCTGCCATTACTTTACCCAAATATACTTTGATAAACCTATAATAATGATTTATATTTTAGACCCGTCACATCATATCTATAGACAGAGAAATGTTGAGTGAAGCTGAAAGTTTGTGCTGGATGATTCAAAACGCTAGTTACAAACATAACTGTGGTTCTATGACTAAGTGGAAGACCGCCAGTGGCAGTGCTGAAAGCACTAGTGGAAAATTCGTCATGCTTGTGTTTGACCGAGAACAGAATAACAAAGTTGTCACCTTGTAACTCGCATCGCGTCTTGAGCTATAATAACCTCCTAACACGTCATCTCAACCTCTAGATCATTCTCGTGATACTGAATGACCAGAAACTTTGGTCGTGCAAACTTCTACGTTTGTAACTAGCGTTCTATTTCCTTTTGCTCCAGACCACCAGAGGCAGTGCTGAAAGCACTAGTGGAAGACGAATACCTACGCAGTCACGAGGAATCCCCTTGCGAAGCATCTGTACAGGGAGATAGCACTGCAACACACACCGCTGGCAAGGGAGTCACATTTAATCTGTAAAAACGAGAAAACATGCAAGCTGAACTCCAAGTTGCTGCAGCACAAATCTCAGAAAGCAACACTCCCTTGAACGCCCAAGATGTTGCCAAAGCACGGGTAGAGTGACAGTGGAAAGATGAAGGTACAGACTCATACGCATGAGAAATTACCTGCGTCACCCAGTGTGCCAGTCTCTGTTTGGAAAGTGCAGCACCCCTGCACACATTGCTAAAACAAACAAACAATTGGCCAAGAGAAATGTGGTCTTAAATGACAGCAATTTAATATCAGACTTTGATACTGGCTCAAATGAAGTGAAGTGACGTGACGTGTGGCCAAGTATGGTGTTCCATACTTGGAATTTGTGCTCTGCATTTAACCAAGTATTTCAAGTGCACACACACACACACACACACACACACACTGCAGCTAGAACACCAGTCATAAAACACTTTCCACTTACAAGCGTACAACTTTCGTGTGGATTCAGCACGAGCATTTTCCTGTCCCTCTGTGAACACTCCAAGAGTGACCTGGCGGTCCTAGAGGCAGTTTAAATCGGTCTGAATGTGGATGCCAAACTTTCCCTCTTAACTGACTCAGTAGGTCTGATCTGCTGGGCAGATGACAAGGTTGTCCTACTGTCAGTGAGAGAAGAGTCTGAATTCCATGGCCTTGCAGGCCAATGTGGAGCCACTAACAGCAGACGATGGCCACATTCGCGCACTGGACACTGAGTCATCCAAGTCAGTGGTAGCGGGGAGAAAGCACACAGGATCATGTCTGGCCAATCATGGGCTAGTGCATCCAGACCCACAGATCCTGATTTGTCCCTCAGGGAGTACCAATGAGAGCAGTAGGACGTTTGACTGTCCGCGAACACATCTACTACTGCAGTCCCATAAGTCCCCCATATTATCTGCACCATTTCCGGGTGTAGAGTCCAGTCTCCCTGTGACTGCCACGTGAAAGAGCATACGCGGCCTGATTAAGTCGGCCTGGTAGATACACTGTCTGGAATGAAAGTAGGTTGGTCTGACCCAGACAAGCAGTTGCGAGCCACCTGAAGTGCACTCTGTGATCTTGTGCCTCCCTGATGATTGACATAAAAAATTGTCTCCCTGTTGTCTGTGCGTACCAGAACATGTTTTCCCCTGAGAACAGACTGAAAATGAAGACAGGTAAGAAACACTGCTGCCAACTCTAGAACATTTATGTGCACTGGGTGTAGGGCCCCCTTGCAAGTGCCATTCACTCCTCTTCTGTGCCAGACTCCACCCCATCAGAGAAGACTGGCATCTGAGCAGGTGGAGGTCCCAATGGAACTCCTCTGAAGAGAAATTGCTTCTGCGACCAAGGTGCTAGAGCTCGCATGCAACGATGTGTGACTCTGATCTTTGTGTATTTGTCTCGTACTGGACACAGATGCTTTTGAATAAGCCATCATTGGAATGGCCTGAGCCAAAGCAATCCCAGTGGTACTACTTTTGTTGCTGCTGTGAGCTTTCTCAAGAGTCTCATAAGAGAAATGTAGCATTGAGAATGTCCCACCCGAAGGCACCCTACATGCCAGCATTGTGACAGAGTTGAGAGCAAGACCTATGAAATTGGTTGTCTGCATTGGGACAAGTTTGCATTTTTCCCAATTCACAGAAATCCCTAAAGCTCTAATATGGTCCAACAGATGACGAGCTTGATCGATTGTTTGCTGGGGTGATGCTGCACAGACAGGCCAGTTGTCCTGGTTTGGCAATACCCTCATGCTATTCCTTTGGAGTGGTTCCAATGCCGCCTCTGCAGACTTTGAAAAAACTTTTGGTGCTAGAGCCAGGCCAAACGGAAGAACCCTGAACCCCGTCACAAATCAGTCTTTTGGCATAACTGCTTGCAACACATTTGCTGTGCGCAACATCTAAAACGGAAGGAACTTTAGAAAGTGATTGAGATTTCTCAAGTCTAAGATCAGTCGAAACCCGCCGTCATTCTTGGTGACCATAAAATAAATGGAAAAGAATCCCCCGGGGTGAACTTGAGGGTCGACTAACTCTATGGCACCCTTGTGCAGCAATACCTGAACTTTGTGCGCAAGTGCCTCTGCCTGGCATGGATCGTGATCTATTGTCTGTCTCATGGCAGTATGAACAGGAGTTAACAGCAAAACTGTATACGGTACCCTCTTGTAAGGGTAGTCAGTAACCACTGATTTGTTTTTATTGATCTCCAACGCTCCAGGTGACTTTCCATAAAACAGCCCACTGTTGACATCTGTGCATCAACGATCCCATGGATGCTTTTCAGTAGAGGTGGGGGGACATTGCTGAGGGCCTGGGTGTCATGCATGAGACTGATGTCCACGCAGTTGAGACCCAACAGGCCTAGGAGTTTGAGGAGCTTGTGAGTTCCGATGCTGGAAATGCTGAGGAGGTCTATATGAAGATCTTGCACCAACATTGTGATAATGGACACCAGAGGCTGTTGGAGGTGGCCTGGATCTTGAAGCTGTCCCCACATGACAGGAACGCATTTCAGAGACTGACACACGCCGGTCCAAGGATTCCTGTGCAGCTTGTCCAAAGTTTCGACCCGAAACTAATGTCAGTCATTGAAAATTGTTTCAACACACCTCTGGCAAGGACGATTGAGCTAACCTGCCTTTGAGCTGACAATAACACCCATGGCTTGTAAAGAAAGTGCTGTTACTAATGGGTCAGACGAAGCTTCGCCCAGAGAGGAATGTAAAGCTACAAGCATGTGCGCCAAAGAATTGGAAACACAGTCAAGGCTTGCTGTAGAATTGCATGCACGGGACAGTAGGTCATCAGTGCGTCTGCACTCGACATTGGGACAGCGCACATTTTCACGAAGTGCCTCATCAGGAGATACAATTAATGCTGCCACACTAAATTATATAGGTGGCATGCTACCAAGTCCCACTATGTCTGGGTCCTGCATCACAGCCAGAGTGCGAGTCAACTGATCAGGGCGTGTGACCTTTTAATGAGTTTTGTAATGCTGACACCAATACAGATGTGAACTCTTGGCACTGAGGCTTGGTAAAGGATGTTCTCTGTGCACAACATAAAAAATGCAGTTGCCTGAGGAGGATCCAGATTGATGTGGGTAAGCATCTAGTGATGCAACAACTGAAGACAACCCACCTGACTTCTCAGACACGGTCTCACTGCCAGAGTGAAGTGATTTATCTGCAAACAAATTTTCTTCAGCTCCAATAAAATCCACACACAGAGGCAGCCACTGACATCACATCTAACGGTGTGATGCACGATTCAATTTGAGCCTTGTCTTGTACCTCCATATTAGGCTGCGCTTTAGCAAAGAGAGGCTGTAACATCTCTACTGCAGAAGAGAGCTGGTCAACTTTGCGTTCTAAATCAGAAGATTTTTCTTTTTTTTTACTTTGAAATGTTTGTTTATGCTTACGATCGACTGCAGAGACACTGGAGGAAAGTAATAAAAAGTAAACTTCCCAATCATGATAGCAGACCCACCAGACGTGATCGATGCACAGCGAGAGGCATTATGGCGCATTCCGGGCATAGGTCAGACATTGCCCCTTTAAGATGATCCACACCAAGACACTGACGATGTCCATCCATGATATCCATTACATAATAGCAGGTAGAACATCTAAGTGTATCCATGTTGAATCAATACTCACCTTAAATTAGGGCTGCACGATAAATCACATGCGATTGTCATGCGCATCTCATCAGTAAAGCCGGTTCTGTGATTAGTAGTAAATCTCCATCATGTGCTTTCAGATGGAGCGGCAATTAATACACAGAGCCGTAGCTCGCTGACAAGCTACGCAATATCGCATTCATAATCGAATGCTATTCATCTGCGATCAATACAGGCAAAGACGAAACAGCTCGCCAATATCTTGACGAACTCTTCAGCAGCAAGCTAAACAAAATATCGTCACAACAGATTAAATCAAGTGATTAGTCAACCGAGAATAAGGAA